AGCTGAGTTACCCAAAGAGGTCCTTCTGCATCTTTTGCTCTGCCAGGGTCCAACTACTTGACAATGAACAAAGACCACTTCTCATATAGCATCACGCTTACAAACATAAAGGTGCCTTTATCTCCAAACTTTACAATGAAACGTGGGGTCTTTGATAGAACAATGTGCTCGGCTTGGCCAACTGCACCTTGTGTGTAAGTTTCACAATCAAGGTGGCCAAACCCAGATTTCGCAATGTCGCTACCAGCCAAACTGGATCCGGGGGTCGACCTCTTGAAACTTTTTTCGACGACTAAAAAATATTTTTTGGGCTGTTTGCGACATTGAACGTAAAACTTTCACACAAGGTGCTGTTGGCCAAGCCGAGCACATTGCTCTAATAAAAACCCCACGTTTGATTGTAAAGTTTGGAGATACAGGCACGTTTATGTTTTACCTATGCTGTAAGCGTGATGGAGTTGCTTTTTCCTAGTGGATGGTGTCGGCTGCATTAACGGAAAGATGAAGAGTTGAGTGAAATGGCACGTGGTGGTTACACGAACACGTCTTTGACAGGTTGCTACACAAATGAATGATGATGATGATTGCCTTTTGTGAAGGTACGTAAGTAAACAGCATCCAATAATGAAGGTGTGTCAAGGTATGCATCACATTTGCATGTAGAAGAAAGTCGAGCTGCATAAACCAATTTGTATATGTAAAAAGATACGTATACATATTGAATGAGTCACTCATCCTTAAACTCAATGGAGAGATCTCTTCACTTTTTCTCTCAAGGTCACCCCACTCCTCCTTATTGTATCACAAAATCCTTGTACTTCTTGCATGACCGATAACCGGACCACCTTTATTATTCCATCTTCGAAGCAATAGTAAGTAATCCACAAGCTAGTAATCTCCAACAAGCGTGTAATAAATAAACAATGCTTTATTTCATCTAGCAATCTTGCTATGTACTGTACATTACCACCCCCATCGTCGTAGTCGTCCTCCGTCATCATTCCTACTCGTACCGTCACCAGTCCTCAATCTCATCCGTCACACCAAACATCCAAAAACACACAAGTTGAAAAGAATGGGATCTTGCAGGCTTCCTTTTGTATCTCGTTGTCGTCATCATTGTCATTGTTGTGAATGTCGTCATCATCGTAACCGTCGTCTCTATAAATAAGAAAGCAGGCAAATTAGACCATCTGGTACCGGAATGATAACGATTTGGTATACCGTTAGGCGATCCTCTCTAAGGAAGAAAGCAAATCAGAAGGAATTCACAAACCAAATCACCACCATACGAGCAACGTCGGGCGATCCCTTGTTCTTGAGAAAGCACTGCACGAATCACGCAAGGCCAGTTCGATCCATGGCAAGGAAGGATATCACTTACGTAGAGTCCAGGCTCATAGGTGTCCTCATTCATCCTCTCCAAAGAAAGAATGATCCCCAATCCTTCCAATCATTTCCCACCTCATGAAAAGAAATCCTCAAGGGAAAGAACGAGCCTATCACGAGAATAACGTGTTGGTTAAACACATTCACAAGCTGTTGCAAATCCCCTTTTACCTCAACACGGTGACCATGCTCTGCCAAAAACTCATCGTCATCGACCCATCAACTCAAACACAGGCCAATAGAGCCCTGGACGCGTTCCAAGAAGCTTTTCCAGCACACTTGGCTAGTGCAGAGCGACGCAGCGGCCACGTGATACAGGCTGGGACTTGAACCCAAAGAGATGATGATGCTGATGCCCAAAGCTGGATTGCCTGAACGAAAAACCTATTGAATTCATTATTAGCACACACATCCAATCACGCCCTTTTCATTGTTTGTTTCATTGCAATTACCTTCTCCATATTCATAAAGACCCGTTGTTGGTGGTTACTGGAAACCGAAAACCATGCTGTAGTGTTGTTGAGCCGAAACAAAACGCCAAACCAGCCAATGTCTTGAGACCAAACTTGCCCTCTATACAAGCTAACACGTCAATGGAACAAGTTCTGCTGCAACATTGGTCTCTGAATGTACCTGTTGACACCAAGCGTAGAGCGGGAATAGCGACGAACAAGAGGAAGCAACGATATCGCCATGGCAACAACCAACCACCCACCACGCTCCATTCCTCAGCATTTGGACACGCTCACTCCCTGACTATGCATGTCCATTCAATACCTCACAGCCAACAAGAGCACTCTTTTATAATACATTACCTTGATCGGGATGTCGTTAATGGCGATAAAAGTAGAGGAGGGAGAAAGAGAAGGGAAAGCGTTGTTTCAAGTCATGGAGCTACCGTCCCCAAGTTTAAATCCCCTACTGCTATTACACTGAGGCCACTCAATGACCCCACATACACCATCCACCCCATCATCATCATCACCCATCATCATCATTACCCTCACGATAGACAATAGGGACACGTAATTAAATAAAAGAAATGATCCTCACGTACAGCAAAAGGGTGTGTGCCATTTTACACTTTACATGATAATGATGAATCAACAACAACCGGTTGGTTGTTATAAGAGATATCGATAATAGAGCATTCTCCTTGGTTAAATGCACATCCTCTGGTATGATCCCATCCATTCTTGACATAGTGATTGTAAACCAGCCTAGATTATGAATACGACATTACCCAGATCCTCAAAGGACATAGTATACTTTCTTCTTTTCTGTATACGTCGATTAGACAACAATTGTAATCCTTTATCACATTCTTCCCATCATCATCATAGCATAATGTTACAAATCGTCTTACCCTTAGCCTGTTTGACGAAAACATAGATACGTAAGCTAGACAAGAATCACGATAGCAATAAAAGAAGACGTATCGATGCATGACCCAAAGGTCATTTATCATTACGATGCACACCTGATTATAAAGGCTAAGGGGTGGTGCCCAAGCCAAAGCTGGGATCGAAATTTAACAGAGGACCCACCCCTCGTAATACCTAAGACATGATACCATTCTTTTGATCGCAAATTGCTCAACCTTCACCTCCCATAAAAATAATGCGTAAACGCTGTTGAATAGCTGCAATACTCCGCTACATCCTCTAATTTACCTCAAATCGCTAGGATCACTTCTTTAACCTCCCCAATTTGGTAGTTTGGTTCTAGATCTTGCTTGTTTGATACAAAAACCTTCGAAGGCAAACATGACCGAGCGGTCTAAGGTGCCACGTTCAGGTCGTGGTCTCGAGAGAGGCGTGAGTTCGAATCTCACTGTTTGCAAAGACGAGTTTTGTCAAGTTTTGCACCGAATTGTTATGTGGGTCACGTGATTTCGTAGTAAAGATGGCTATTTTTTGGCATTATGCATCGATGCATCATCTTCTACTACCTTGTATTCATGCTCTGGGACCTTTAACAATAATTAGGTAATAGATATTGAGGAATGGTGTTTATTTGAACGAATGGAAGAAAGGCTATGATAGTTTCTTTTTTATTCTGTCATGATAGCTGCCACACCCCTCCAGGTTCATGCACAAGAATGAAAACATCAGCTCAAGATGTACCTGGATGAGCATACCACTAACCTAATCAATACAAGCCAATGTGAACAAGGAACAAAGACAAGAGCTACATGATAAGTGATACGACTAGGTAATCGGATAGTAGAAGAGCTGTGGGTACACGGGATCAACAACGCGTCTATGCAAGATTATCAGATTTCAAGCGACAAGATAAGAACAAGAAATTAACAGCGACAAAGGTGGAAGACAATTAGACAAATGCTTATTTACATTATGCGAAAGATATAAGGGAAATGATAATGGGACTTATGCGTTTAATGGAACCATAATGGTCCGTGTGATGGTCATGGTTGAATACAGGGCTACATAGTAATTACCCAAGCGTGGAAGAAATACCATGCATCCACCTTGTTTTCTGCATTGCACCCTCCTTCGATCGAGTCGGTAGATTTTTGAGCGTACAATGTATCAAATACCACAAAATGGGTATACGCAAACGCAGTGATGCAATACAATAATTGTAAGAGAGTTGTAGAACATGAGACCCGGCGTTGATGTCATATAGCGAATAAAGAGCCTGCCGTATTTCAAGAACCACCAACAATCGTCACTATGCAACATGACAAGCTAAGATACCACAACGACACCGCATATTACACAAGAGGACATCACTAGCAACATTCATGCCTACCAACCGAAGGTTCATCATCCAACGATTGCATCAATCCCATCCATCACTTCGTATACCCCAACATCCTCACATAATATAATGACACAAAGACCAAGTTTATATAGCGTATTGTAATTGTAGCTGAAAAATAGTAGAAGAACTAAGATATATTGATTCTCATCGTATCTTTGTTGTGATCATATCCCATATCTCAGAGCGATCCCATGCCAACCCAAATAACACTGTGGAGCCTTGTCATTGATCTCATACTGACACCACTAGATATTAAAAGGTAGTTCAGCAATTGGTGAATTGCGGTGCACTGTATCCTCCATTCTAACCTGCTTGTTGTTGTTCGCTCGACGTACAAAAGGTGCCATTGATTGTGAAGGCGAAGCTACTGCTGATCAGGTACTCCATGGTAGGTTTGATTGTTGCAGCATTGACCGTGTGGCTGACCCTAAGATTTGTCCTTCGAGGCGTCCTCCATTACGTTGGTTAAGGGCTTGCATGTGGGATGCCGGCTGCTCATTAAGTGTCAAGTGTCAAAAGAAGAGAGAAGAATGTTTCCACAAGAGCATTACGCATGATTTATGATTCCATTTCAGACTCAACGACGCTCGTTGATCTGCTACCCAACCTTCCCCATTTGCTTAGCTACCACAACCCATCCAAGTTACTCGTGCCATTTTCTTCCATCCATTATCGGCAAAAAATATACTAAGATAAGATCATGAAAGCGAGTGATCAATGTTTATTATCAAAAGTGACAAGTACTACTTCAATTGCAAATGATGAAAAGAAAGAAAAAAGAAAGAAGAAAGGAAAAAGAAAGAAGAAAGGAAAAAAGAAAAGCTCTAAGGTTGAGGAGCAGGGACGTATGCTGCTAAATTGTATATCCCGTGAGGAGACATATGGGCATATCGTCGAGGAACTTTTGTGATTTGCAAACCTTCATCGCGTGCTTGCATCATCCTTTGCAATATGGGTTTGATTGTGTGACTAAAGAGAATACGAAAAAGGATGATTAGTATCTTGAAAGTCGTTCAATATCAAAATACTTACAAGTATCTATCCTCGTTTGAGAGGAGATGTTCCCAAACTAAATTCTCCATGCCAATGGCATTCGTCGCCAGTACCGCTCGTATAGTATCGGCGATATAACTGTCATCGGGTGCATCGGCTGGTACTCTTCCTCTCTTGGTGTACACCACTCTTGCTTGGCCCTGACATACTTGTTGCCAATATAAGCCCAAGATGCGTTCATAAGTAAAAGGTTCGTCCAAAGCAAGTTGATCCTGGATCTCTTGTCGTAGTTGCCGTCCATGTTCTTCCACTGTACGTTGAAAAGTAACAAAGTACACGTTCGGTGCAATGCGCAAGAGCCAATGGTCCCAGATGATGTATGGTCGCTGAGCGTTGGGTAGGATGTTTCCAAATTCATCTCGAATGATGAGGCCATTTGGCTGCTCCATGGGATCGTAATCAATAAATCGAATGCCATTGGTGATGCCGGGGACATAAATGCCGTCAGCAAGGTACACTTGCTGGCCGTTGATGATGACACGCAACCGAGCTTTTGTACTGGAAACCCTGACACGACACATGTTGAACGTTGCATACGCAATGTTGCCTTGACGAGCAAGATAGTCGTTTCTCCTTTGACGCCATACTTCGATATTAGCTTGAGTGGGTCCACCCCATTTCTCTCTGAATCGGATACGAGCAGCTTCCATTGCAGCTTCCCGTAAATCTTCAATCAGCATCCATGTATCATCTCCTTGTTCCCAATTCGGTGGTGGTTGACATCGCGTCAATAGATAGTGGACTTGCATAGCTGTAAGGTCACCGATAGGCTGTATGTTTTCTTCTTGAGCCTTTCTCAAAATGGATTGCATGACGTTGGTGCCTTGTGCAAGATGATTGACAAACCAATCTCGGAAAGCCTGTCGATCCGTCGTATAGCTTGGGCAACTGAGTAGCTCTGGCCATTGATATCTTGTGAGTCGTACGTAGTGCTGGACTCGAGCATTTGATCCATTTGCCCCTTCGGCCCAACCATACCGCTGGAATTTTTCCAGCAACGTCCTTCTTGAGGTTTCTCCAATTGCACGCGCGCCAAGGCCAACAGGCAGGCCTTCGTTTCTCTGTAATAGTGCTCTATAGCGGTCTATAATAAAAGTATGTTATTTCATGTACATGTGAATAAAAGAATCATAAGCTTCAAATACCTGCTTGAGCATCTGAACGGAATTGGTTGAGTTGTTCGCGCGCCTGATCAATTGCAGCTGATAGAGCAGCAGGTTCCCGATTTTGCCATTCGGCCAATAATTGCTGGGCAAACGCTTGTGAACCGGTTGGATGGGGTGAATCAGCAGCAATGTTGATTGCCGTGTCTACCAATAGTAGGGTTCGAATCCAGCATAAAAACATCATTCTGAGAATCCTTGGATCTACGCTTCCGTAGTTGGCCGTTCCTGGATCCATATGTGGAATAACAACGCACCATCCTTGCTGTGGCTCCTCTCCTTCAGGCTCATTCTCATACGAAAATGTGGCATCGTGGTTTATAATCATGGGTACACCAACAATGTCTCTGTATCTGGGACTTGAGAGCGAATATCTATAACACAATATTAGATATAAGGTAACACTTATTTGCATATACTCCATACCTGTCGTGGAAGTTTGATATGGCTACACGAGCAACGTCGAATCCACAAGTCATCATCACCGCTGGATTGATGTACGCCAACATACGTGATAATGATTGTGTATGCAACTCCCAAAAATAGTCTTGTTTCGGTATCGGCCATAGGTCTCCAAAGCATGGTATTTGTAATTGGAGATCGAGGTGGTTTTCCAAAGGTTGGCCTTGCATGCCGTTTAGTGCCATCCTCATGAGGTCTCCTGTGATGGTCCCAGAACGTGATCCTTCAAAAAAGCCTCGCTGCAAAGAAAAGTCTTGGATCGTATTATCCTTGCCAACTATCATGAAAGGCACTATGGCAGTTTCTTCATTGACTTGATGAAAACGGTTGGCGTGAGGCAAAGCTTGATGAGCAAATAATTCCAAATGATCATTGGTGATGCGGTCTGCCATGACTTGATCCACACCAGCAAGTTCAGTGCGATAAGCTTGGAAAGAATCCAAGAGTTGCTGATCGACGTGTCTTATGTTTTCAATGTTGTCGGGTGCCACAAGATATGCAAGTGCGTTTGGTGCATTGACTTGAGCCAAGAGGTTCAAATCGTTTTCATTGCTGGTATAGGAAATGTAGAAGCCACCGGGTTGACTATTGATCAAGCATTGACGATCCAGTAGGTGTATGAGGATTCGCTCAATAGCATCCAGCTCAGCGGATTGGGGACCAGGTTGACCAAAAACACCGGCAGTAGCAAGTAGAGGTATATGGTACACTTGGAAAGCCTTTTGCGGAAACAGTTGGCGTATAGTCATTGTGAAATTGCTGAAACGGCGCCCACCTTGATGTGCGACATCAAGATCATGCTGAAGACGTCCAAGGGGCGTATCATCACCAGTTGCACCAACGTAACGTACAAAAACTAAAAGCTCGGTTGGATGCTCTTGAAGTAGATTGATCAAATGGTCGGCAAACAGGGTGTCAGCAGCGTAGTCGTTTCGATATTGCTGAATGGCTTGTTGAAATTCCTCCCTTGTGAACTCCATCGATCGTATGTAATATCTTGTTTCGTTTGGCACAGCAACGTCATCTTGAACCGCCTCCATAGCAGTTAAGGCTGCCACTAAAGCGTCATCATTACTGAAAAGGGGAACACGGGAAAGATGGAGAAGAGCATCAAGCATTTGCCAAGTCTCGTTTTCTTGTTGTTGCACCACGAGCCGATCAATGGTGGTTCTTAGGATGTCAAACGGAACATCTATTTGGCTTTCAAAGAAGCCTTCTTGCAAGATTTGTACAAGATCTTGGTAGGGATCACGTTGATGAAGCTGTTCAAGGTCCCATTCTTGTTGTCTTTGCCTGCGACGAGCCATGACGTTTGAAGAATATTGAAGAGAGAGTTGCTGGTGGTATGTGTGATGAAGAGTGGTATTTATGATTAGGTGGACAATGAGCATTAGGATCCAAAAAGGAGGTTGTGATGAACCAACAAAAAAATGTATTCATTGTTGGTTCATGCAAGCGGACTACCAGTGTCCATTGTCATTCATGCATGCCGAAATCATGTGGATAAACAAGCTTGTTATCTTTTGGATCCATCCTGTATGCTTTGAGCCTGCCAGCGAACTTGATGAAGGCTGGTTGATTTCTGCAAATGCATGTGATGCATTTGCTATTGCGAGCGTTTTGGTATGCAATGATGACAACAACTTTTTCGTCATATGAGTTCACAATTCTATCATTATCTTTGATAAAGCTTCCTATTTTAGCTTACAAAGGTGCATGGCGACAATCCTCAACAAAGGCCCATGGTGTAACAAATTATCCCAGCTGTATTATACTCTAGAAGCGATCTACTCTAAAACGGATACTACATACGTGTTGAAGATTGGAGTGATTATGCGTCGAAAATGGATTCGTCAATTGTGATACCAAATTGTTGTTGAAGCTAGACATACGCATAAAGTTAAAAAAGGCCAAGCGGTAGCTGTGAGTGTAAGACATTTACCTGATCCTTGAGTTTTTGATCCAGCACAGCTTCAAATCCTTGACCATCGGTCCCAAAGAGTACCTTGCTGATACTATCTCGAATTCGCACAAGCCAAAAGCTCATGGTCATGGCAAACAAAGTGCTTTCAAAAAGACACAGGTTCCATGTCGTGCGAACATAGTCTTCGATGCGTTGTCGAACTGGTATAGTAGCGTAGTCAACATCTTGTTTGCTCTTCGCCAGACCATAGAGGGCCCATCTTGCCATGACATTGATACGGTTCACAGGGCTGCCAATAGATTTGTTGTTGGCACGGACAATGTTCATGTTGCGTGAAATAAAAATAAGCTCTCGAGGGAAAAGTGATTGATCTTTGAGAAAGTCCTTGATGTGCTCCTTGAGTGATACTTGCAGCTCATAAATATCCTTCATGTCTACATTTGTCTTCCCAAGATGTACAGCTTTGCCAGGATTGAAGGGCTTTTGAAGCGTGATGGATGCGAACATGTTTGCGTCTTGTATGCCCTATACATAGCAACCTCAGTGAACAAGCCAACGCGACCAAAGTTTGGTTAATACCCATACCCATTCTTTGCATATGCGGTTCATTGTATTCATATCCAAGAGAAAGAGAGCCTCCCAAAGTTTACAGTACTGCAATCGGAACCTATGATGCCATGGTCAATTATCTCGCCCTGATTGCTTTTAAGAAACTCACTTTTCAGATTCTTGGATATAAAGACCATGATCGATAATAACCACTTGTACATCACGATGATTGGTGGGGTGCCGTCTTACAAGTACATTGCCTGGATGAGGATCGCCTAGAGTAATACAGCAGCTTTTTTAATATGCGGCATTATAGTAGTAATCAGATTTCCTTACCATGGACAAATCCGCTCCTAAAGATTTGACTGGAAAATGCCTCGATGGTTGTGTGCATGGCTTTTTCCAAATCAAGCTTCCTCTCCTTGAGACGTTCCATATCGGTAAGTTGGACACCGTCGACCCATTCGGTGACAAGTACCCGCTTTGAGCTAAGCTCGGGATACACTATGAATATAATGTTCATTGTTACGAGGCTATATGATTTCACATGTAATCCAACATCTCTACCTTTGGGGACGTAGACGCGATCCTTCAAGCTTGGTTCCTCTTGAAAGTGTTTCCATGCCAACGTCGCGTTGCTATATAGAATGTTGCATGAATAACGTATACTCCGATCAATCTTTCCTTTGCGTGCATTTACCGTGCTTCTGATACAAAGTCAGCCTCCATGCGAATATGCTTTTCGATGTAATCGGATGACCATGACAATGGCAAATCAAAGAGCTTTTCATAAATGTAGAGTAGAATGCGGAATGCTCTTAGGTCCCAATCCATTTGCTGAAGGATGGCTGGTTTTTGGATCTTGACGGCAACGACTTCTCCTGTATGCAAACGAGCGCGATGAACTTGTGCCACTGAAGCTGATGCAATGGGCATAATCTCGAATTCTGAAAAGACGTGGCATGGATATTTCCCATCAAAATCCTCACGAAAGACGCGTTCAATGACCTCAAAAGGTAATGCGGGTGCTGCATCGTATAATCGTCTGGCACGACGCTGATAGGCTACTGGTAATATGGCAGATTGTGTGCCAACAACTTGACCAATCTTGATATACAATCCACCGTTGCGTTCAAACACATCGAATATGCGGTTGGCTACTCGTTCATGAAGTGACTCGATGCGTGATGCGCCTTTGACATCCATGCTTGGTCGGAAGTTGAGCTTGTAGTCGATGGCGAGAGCAATGCCATTATAAAAAGTACGCATGGTGCGCTGCAGTAGTTGAGCTTCGGAATGTGCATCGTAGGTGTATACAGTTGCTCCGATGAAGGCTGTTCCTAGCAGTAATTTGGCAGGACGTGTCCATCGTTGACGAATCGCGGACATGCGGAAGGGAAGAACACAGGTATGTATCACACGTCATGCGAGAAATCCTATTTGTTTAACCGATAATGGTACTTTAGTTTGCAATCCAATACGGGCACCGGGTCATTGGTAGGGTATGCATATCATTTATGACATGATGATGGATGACATTCATTCTTCCTGTTGACTCACATGACATGGAATGAAACCCTTTCAAGATGTAGGTGGATTTGTGTATCAGCTGTTGATTGTGCTCCAAGATGCTTGACCACTTTATCAGTTTGATCCATCAAAACAATAATTCCCACGCCCATTGATATATAAACAAGGCTGTTGTTATCGACACTATCATACGGCCTTCTTTCTACTTGTATTCACATCCTCATCAATGCCCTTTGGTAAGTCTCAATGATAGTCTTTATCATGTGATCCCAAAATGAGGTACTCATACATTCATCTATGTAGCTCACTTCATTGCTTGGTGTGCTCATCGCTGTTTAATGACATTTGACTGCGTTCCTCGATGGAGCCTTTGTGGTAGGTATAACCATCATTGTATATATTGATAAACGTTATTAAAAGGATGCCTTGTACATTTATAGGCAAAAGGCAACCTCAGTCTGATGGGAAACTTGGGACTCCTTTGTTGGTGGCATAAGTTGCGTATGCGCTCCATATGACCAAAATGACAACAAAAGCTACAAGCTACACCACACCAGAAGAAAAACGAAGGCCTACAGAGCTTAAGAAGATTTACAGGTTTGGAATACCTGGATGGTATTATTGGTTGACACGTGGTCAGATCCACAGTATCACTTAATCCTGGCGAATGTCACAAGCAGGCCTCATATACCTGAAAAATGGCGAATTGAGACCCACCGGGAGGCAACAGGATATGAGAGATGTCTGCAAGCAGCATGTAAGAACTAGGGCTTATACGTGTTCATAGTTGTCGAGATATGATGTATCAACCCAATGTGCGTACCACGAAGACATAAATACACCACGCGTTCAAGAGATCTTCAAGCAACCTTTGCCACTGCTTTATATGGATCAACTCACATGCTTCACGACGAAGTACCCTCACATCGCCTACCACCTTACAGCCGATTGGGTGGTGTGCTTCCATCATCTCAACTGATAAACATCTCACGTCATAAGTAAGTCGTAGTACGTATAACCTTACGTGATCATTATATCTTACAATGTTATTGAAGCCTCAAGGAGCTGATGTTGGTTGCTTATTCCCTAACTCAGTCTTACTTTGCTCAACACAAACGTGTAGGTGATAACTATCATGCGTATCCAATTGTTCAACTTTGTATTTAATTTTTATCAGTCCTAGATCCCCCAAACCCTCATGCTTCGTAACAAAAACGGGATAGTATAAACATTCTTTGTTATTGCTCATTGTGTACATCATCATACTAAGCTAATTAAACTCTTGCATGCGCCATTCGTTCCATACTTGTTTAAGGTGTTCCTTCGTCTTGGTATCAGCGAAAATATAATCGATGGCTCTGTATGAAGATTCAAATAGCTCTTCCTTGTTCATCTTGAAAGTATTTGCGCATATCACAAATTCGTTTGAGAGATCAGAGAAAAAGACGCCCTTATCATCAGTCTATAAATCACAAAGAATGAGCACACAAGATGAATGACAAGATGAGCGTGTCTACTTACGCAGAGGACAAAGGGATGCTTTTCCTTGAGAAGATCCTTGACGTGATGGGTTTCATAAGAGTCAACCGTTTTGCTCACCACATTGGATGTCATGCATATCTCGACTGGGATGTTGTTGCCATAGATGTGTTGACGAGATGCATCGTCAAGGAACGTGGCATGGCCCAAGCGATCAGGTCCAAATGCTAAGAGTGCAGGCGCTTCCACCATGTTTTCCATAATCTACGCGTATGTCCTCGCATGAGAATCACTCACAGGTTGGATGATAAGAATTGACGTGTACCTCGTTGAAATGCAAGGTGACCTTGAAACCAAGGGACTTGGCTTTATCGAATGCAGGCTTGAGTGCTTCAAATGATCCCTTACTGACATCACCACAGAGATCGATACCCACGACGTTTTGAGATCGGAACTTGGTTGCCAGGTCAACAGCTTCAAATGCCTCCTCGAGTGTGTTGCGTCGATCAATGGATACAATCAAGCGTACAATGATATCATCACGCGGTTCATTGACAACGGATAAAACTGTAGACAAATACGATTCCTTGGTCATTCCTAAAGATGAAACCTTATGAGTGATTGAACGTGACCTTTTCATAGTTGACTAGCACCTGTTGCCTGGTTTTTGCGTGGGGTGGTTCTCAACTCAAGATACTTGACACCATCAGCAGCAAACTCATCAATGATATTACGGGTTGTGATACGAATCGCTTCCTCATCTTCAGTCAGTTGATAGATGTACTTGAACAATGCAAAGAAGCTGTAGATCATGTCAGAATCCAAGCTTCATCATTTGAATGTAGAATATGAACATACTCGTGAATACGTTCCAAGCTGTCAGGAACCTGCCAAGCAGCAAGCTCCTCATTCAGAGTGCCCATGGCTCTTTTCCGATCCATCAACTGGTGCATGGTCTTGGGGCTAATGCTGCCGTTAATGTGGGCATGGAGCTCAACCTTGGGCAATCGTACACAAAAGTCGACAAGATCTGTGGAAGGAGCCATGAGGAAGACCTGGGGTGGTGTGGGAAAGCTTGTGGGAAAGGAGTATTTAAAAGGTCGAAGATGATGTTGCTGCGGAATAAACGGCTTGCCCTTTTGTGGTAAAATCATGCCAACGTTCCATTTGGTTTCCAGGGACACTATGTAAAATGACATTGCGCCGAAGCACTCAGGTTCTCGGATGATTACACTTGCCCATTGTATGTTGGTTTTGGATGGGATACGGATACTCGTTTACAAATAGTTGATGTGGATTGCTTACCTTTTGGTATACAATTGCAAAACGTTATGAGTCATTCGGAAGATGTCGCAGCAAAAGCATGTTCTGTATTGATGCCGCAGCAAAAAACAATTGGATGCCAGAGACAAACAATGAATGCAGGTAGCACATAATCACGCTTACAGACGTAGGTAGTAGAATCTCGTGTAGCCACCTATTTTTTGTATCCTTGTTAACATACAATGATAGAGTGTGATAGTAGTATTCTTATGCGATTATCATTTACATTGACATAGTAGCCATATCCCATAATCCCACCTTATTGCTCGCATGGTATGCACTTGGATGCAGGGTCTATTTGCATACCATTGTTGCTTCGATGGTTGTCTCCGATATCGTGATACGGTGTATGATGCGAAGCAATAAAATGTATACGTTGTCTATCACCAAGCAAGCATTAAAGTGGAATCAAGGATACGGTGGCATCATCGTTGGCAGATGAGAGATCAACCAATCTTGGTGCGTGTGTGGTAATTTCTCCAGTAGTAGTAATGACGGGATCGATTTCCTACCAAGAACGATAACGACAAGGTACGTTGACAATAGCGGTGGCGGTGAGAACGCGTATTTTTATTGTGGATCAAAACATAGAATGCATCCATCGGTTGAAAAGAATTATCCTCCCTCAGCGTTAAAGCTCATAACGAGTGATGAAGTAATTCCATCATGTGACGAGGAGGTATACGTTGTCAAAGTCATCGTAGCTCATAAGCAAGTCGCACCGGGAATGAATGAATACAAAGTAAGATGGGATGGGGATACCGAAGATGATGGCACTTGGACACCAGCAAGGAATTTCTCAAAAGTTAGCACACTAATGGGTTATCGGAAACGCATTGGCCAAATGATGCTCCAGCAGGAAAGCCTAACTTAAACAAAAGCACTGCCAACAATGACAGTAGCAAAGCTAAACCTAATAAAGCTAAGCAGCATAATGTAAGACGCTCAAAGCGCAACCATGTTTAGGGTTCCTGGATATGACAAGTGACCTGGCAGGGGATGACGATATATTTCCTAATAAACAAACATCGGACTTTTACGGTTGCATTGCATTGGTTGTTGGCTTAATAGAACAAAGACACATATGGACATAATGATAACTCGTATGCTCGGGAATAAAAATATAGGATGATCAGGAAACGTATATAAGATAGAACGATTACTCTTTTATTGTTATCCATTTGATCCTGACCCATCGCACCTTGCACTTGTTGAGCATTGGCGCATTCGTCCAACTCTCCAAGACACTTTGTTCGATGTATACGATGGTCGCATGTGGTGGCAAGTACCCTCTCCTTTGTCGACTCCTGCAGAGTTCATTCCATTCGTGCACCACCCGTACCACTTGCTGTTGACTCTTAATGTCGACTGGTTCCAGGCATTCGACAAGAAGGGCCCATACTCTGTTGGTGCAATGTACATGACGATCAACAATCTTCCTCGCCACTTGAGATTCAAAAAGGAGAACGTGATTCTTGTTGGTGTCATGCCAGGTCCTCGCGAGCCCGAAAAAGAACAAATCAACCACTACCTCCGCCCCTTGGTCCAAGAACTGCATGATCTTTACCAAGACGGTATCACCATGGACTTTGACAATGACAAAGTACTCATACGCGCTGCTTTGTTCAACGTTGCCTGTGACATTCCAGCTGCTCGCAAGGTTTCGGGTTTCACGGCAGCATCAGCTATAGTGCTAGTACTAGAGGGGGCCCATTTATGACAATAAAATGTGATATGGAAAATTGGAGGAGTACAATGGTTGGATCTGCTCTCATTGAACACGTTGATCAAATTGAGGATGTTTTATATAAAGTGGGGACGTGCATTCAAGGAAAGGAACGTGCCAGGAATGGGAGTTTAACATTGGTGCTGCTGATGAAACAGCTACCATGCACCCTGACGACGCCACAAGTGCCAAGCTTTTCCCAAAAAACTCACCGGTTGTACTACGTGAAGCAACATTGTTCAACAATGAGACATTGGCAACGTTTAAAGCAGCATTGAGTGGTACTCGTACCTGTTTGTATGCTAAAAGAGGAGTCAAACCTTGGTAGTAGGAAGCACCATAAACATAGTAGAAGGGTCAATGGAGATGTTGTCGTTACAAGGATGACACATGACGTGATGGGACATGTGTGTTGAGTAATCCATGCGTGTTGTTGCCGAGAAGATCGCCGCTTGTTGTTTTCCCAAATAAACAGGTCTGGGCAAAAAAGAACCCAAAGAGGTTATTTTTATACTCAAAGACAAACATTGCCCCATTCATTATCTTTTCATTCCATGCATATCAATCAGAAACCATAATGATAAAAGGAGTAGGCTTTTTAATAAAACTATGCGCGTGTATGTATGTATACATTGATGCAACATGTTATGCAATGCAATTACCAAAACAAAGCTTGAGCATTGACAACAGCGATTACAAAGGATAAAGCTATTTAAGGCATATAAAATTAGGATGGCGAAATAAAAGGCAGTGTGCCTTGCAGGCGGCAATACGGGAGAGGGTGATGTGAGTGTCAAAACGAGCCCGTCGTCTCTCCGCCACCGGTTGTTTAAAAAGAAAGCACATCTTGAGCAACGTCGGGACGACACTTTCTCACTCACTCCCTTCATGTCTATACCTCTACTATTATTCATCATCACCACTATATGCTCATGGTGTTCCAATACAGTGCTTGCACAAGAGGCTGCGAATCCACACTATGTTGCCCTGTTGAATGATTCCATGTGGTTTTACGAGGCACAGCGGAGTGGAAGATTACCGTCATCCAACCGAGTATCTTGGTACGAGAAACCGACACGCCTTTTCTCTCTTCCTTTTCGCTAATCGTACTTGCTACATTGTCAGGCGACATGATTCAGGACTCAATGACGGCAGCGATCACGACATTGACTTGACCGGTGGCTACTACGATGCAGGGTAAAGTGTTCCTCTATGCGTATGTTAAACAAGGGGTTGACTTATTTTGCATTACTGTTGCCAGAGACTACTTGAAGTTTACGCTACCACTTGCACACTCAATTGCATTTCTATCATGGGGTGCTATCGAATGGTACGATGGATACACCAAAGCCAACCAGACCGAATACCTACGAAATACGATACGATGGGGCACAGATTGGTTAATCAAAGCACATCCCCAAGGTGATGTGTTATACGTCCAGGTATGCACTCCTTTTTAGTGATGATGATGATGATGATGATGATGGATCATTCACGATGATATACTTTAGGTGGGTGATGGCGAGATTGACAACAATTATTGGGGTAAGTGGCATGCATACATCAATGGGGATTATGCAATTGGCTCATCATCATCATCGCGTTACCATCCACTTTAGGACCCGATACGGATATCCCTGAACCACGACCTTCGTACATGATCAATGGCAGCACACCAGGCACCGATGTTGCTGCTCAGACTGCAGCTGCTTTTGCCGCATCCTCGTATCTTTTCCGCAATCAACTCAACGACACCGATTACGCCGACCTCCTTCAATCTCATGCTGAATCCCTCTTCAACTTTGCTGATACAGCCAAGCCATGGCAAACATATACCACCGCCATTGCTGCATCCGCTGATTATTACGCTACCAACACCTATACCAATCAACTTGTTTATGCCGCCTTGTGGCTGTATCGTGCCACTGGTAATTCAACCTACCGTGATAAGGCATCCTCTTATTTCGATCAATTCAAACTCGCCACTCAGCCCATTTCACTCACTGATTGGAGCGACCAATCCATTGCTGCTTTCGTCCTTGGAGCCCAAGTGGATAATGATAATAGCAAGTACAGCGATGCAGCTATCAAGTGGTTGGATGACATTATCCATGGCAGCGATATTTGCTCTTACACAAAAGGCGGATTGTTATGGTGTGACGGATACAGCGATGATAATGCACTTGTCCCAGCACAAGATACTGCCTTGTTGGCTCTGATATACAGCAAGGTCGACTCATCCAAATCGAACGATTATACCAGCTTTGCCACCAACCAGATTAATTACATGCTTGGCAACAACCGAATGTAAGTAACAAATGGCATGGTGGCGAGATGGCTAAGGATGGGTGGCTCATTTATGGGTTTGTTTGGTATTATAGGTTGACACCTTATGTTTGTGGTGTGCATATGAACTCGCCACACAACCCACATCATGCAGGTGCATCCGGTGGCACTGATATCAACAATATTGACACATCTCCCCCTGAGGAAAAATATCTCCTCTATGGTAAGTGACACGCGCACATAATATAAACATTGTGGATATGAAACGATGCCTAACGCTTCAGGGGTATAGGCGCTATTGTGGGTGGTCCTGATAAGGATGACAAGTTTTACGATGAACGAAACGATTGGGCTCAAACGGAAGTAGCGTTGGATTACAATGCCCCATTCCAAGGTTTGGTCGCTTACCAGCTCAGCTTGGATCATGTGGACGACCCACCTTACGTATCCATCACCGAACCTCGTCCTCATGTGACACGCTCTCATCCCATCGAAAAGTGGCTTATTGCTGTCATTGTCATTGTCGTCATCTTTGTCGTCGCTTTGGGATTGTACATTTGCTGGTGGAAACGTCAAGCTGTTCGCGCTTGTTGCGCTGGTCGTCGAAATCAAGGCAAGGCGATCGAAGCTTAAAGAATTTAGTTTTATGTACAGCGCATGGTGTGTGTACTTTTATTGTCCCGTCTGATGTATAGATTTGTCTAGCTGAATTTGGCTATTCTACTACATTGCTTTGTTTTGGTTGGATGAAGAAGGATGGGGTGCATGATATACATAGGGTGTTTTGAAGAATGAGAGGAATTAGGGGGTGGCAAGTTGTACATGATAATTTTCTCTTTTTTGAGGTGGATGTTCTAAAGGATGTGTGTGTGTGTGTGGTTGGTGAAGAGTAGATGCATAATGAAATGAAAAAGAAATGATGCGTAAAAGGTATGGCGCGCCAGAATGTTATGTACAGCAATAACAAAAGAAGCAAATAATGAAAAAAAGGAAAGATCATGGGGGGTGTCAGTATGCATAAAATGGATGTAGAGTCGTCGTGATTGAGAAAAAGGGCGAACGATGATGATGTTGATGATGATAATTATGAAACATGATAGGGACATTTGTGTGTGTCTCGGTGTGATGCGCGTTCATTGTGAGTGATGGGATGCAGGATTAGGCGTTGGTAAGAAAAGTTTGCCAGTAGCCGTTGTGTGGTTGTTGTTGTTGTTGCTGCTGCTGCTGCTGCATGTAGTTTTGTTGATTGTACATATGATGATAGTGGTTGCCATTATAGGCCATGTCGAACGACTGCTGCTGTGGAATACACGATGTGCACATGGCTGGTTCCTCAACAACAGGATAATAGTATTGCTGCGTCTTGGTCATCATGTCATGCGAAGCTGCGGCTACACCATCATCAAAGGCTGGAGGATACTGCGGTGTGATAGCGGGTGGAACAGAAGCCAAATCTTGCACCATAATAGGCTCAGCCATTTCGGTAGGCACCAAACCGAAAAGTGGATCATCCCAAGCGTTGATAGGGAAGTTGGGAGATAAAGGTGACGATGATGAGCATGAACCATCACATTCGACAGCTGTTGTGGTAGTAGCATAGCCATAACCAGCATCAGCTGACAAAGGTGAGCTTGTCACGGGTGATTCTTGTTGCGTCAAAGGTGGAGTAATAATACGTTGGGGATAAACGATATTATCAGCGGGTCCATTGTTGTATGACAATGCTGCCAAGTTGGCATCATCCCATGTCGTTTGTTCGGCAACAGCTTTCTTGTTGGCAACGTTACTGGTGGTGGCTAATGATGATAGCAACGTGTTGGTTGGATTGTTTTTGGTAAAAGAGTATTCCATGTCATGCTTACCTGATGAACGTCGCTGTTGTTGTTGCTGTTGTTGTTGTTGTTGACGTTTCTTGTAGGGACCACGCTTAACTCCCTTCTTGCGTTCTTTACGAGGCGAGTTGGTGCACGTGGCAGTAAGACCCAGCTTGATACACCGCTGGCAAGGACGACCATCGTCACACTTTTTGCACGCCTTTTGACAGTTGACTATGATGGTTATACAATGAAAATGAGCGGAGCTGTTTATCCATAAAAGGCCAAGAGCCGAGTGTACAGATGCAAAACGTGGGGGCCAGAGACAAAAAAATGGAAATCGAAGAAAAAAGAAAGGGGGTTGTGTGGGGGGTAAAGAGTTGATAAAACTTACCACACGCATTCTTGACTTGTTTACGCTTCGGGCGCTTTCGATTGTTGCTGCTGGATGTGTTGGAGGCGGATGCACCAGCTCTTGGGATCATGGTTGTTGTTGTGGTAGTAGAGCTGGGTGGGGGAATAATCATTTGATCTGAAGATGGGAGGTGTTGAGCATAGGTATCGTGCAAATCGTACAAAAGTGCATCGTGGGGAGGCATCATTGCTTGCTGTTGCTCGTAGTAAATGTTGGGTGTATAAGCGGCAGCAGCAGCAGCAGCAGCAAATTGGTTGTAATCGTTTTGTTGGGCGTGGAACTGCATATTGATCTTAAAGAGATCAGGAAAACAATAGATGAAAAGAAGGAAAAAGAAAAAGTGGTGGTTGAAACAGAGTGGAAGGCCGTAGCAAAGTAGAAATGGAAAGCAATTGTTCGTCCTTTTTATACGGAAAGCAGCATGCTGATGATGCACATATGCTTTGTCTATTTTAATCTTTGCCTCTTTCTTTACTTTTTTTGTGACCCGACATAATGTCATATAGTCGCTGATAGCTGCAACCGGATAATTGGTACATTGTTTTTGATGCGTATCATATTCAACACCCTTCCATACCCAAGGTTCCTTTAAATCGGTAGAGGCATGTATATGGCTTTTGGTTTGATATGAGCCGTGAGTATTCACAGGGACCATTATTGATCAAGCTGATTAGCTGGTTACCAAATATATTGGGGTTGGTTGCCGCATAAGTAACTTGCAGTATAGCCTCTATTGTACAACATTTTCTTTGTCCATGCTGACTCCCTGCCTAGTTTAGACAGGTAGCAAAATGGGTGGAAAACTCATCTCTCTTCCCGATTCATCTTTTTAGGGATTGTTGATGAGGAGCTACAAAAAAGAGGGGTGATGATGCGGTTAAGGGCATGCAAGGGGTCAAGGGAAAGGAGATGGAACATCTGCAAAACGGCTATTGAGGAGGAAGGTGGATATGACGAGTCGTTACGTTACCTTGTCAAAGATTTTTTTTTCAATGATGGTTATAGCACAATTGTTTCGTGTCGAAAGCATATTGTCAAGTCAGTCGACTTTTGAGGAAATTTGCAATGCGTCCACGGACATTGCTCTGGATTTTAGTGTCGCTCATCCATCCGCAGATGTGGATGTTGCTCAAACTCGCGTGCAACAAACATTTTCAGCGTTGCCACGCGAAACGGCGGTACTTCCCGGTCAAGACTATAATTGCATTATCCTCAAAAAAACATTGTCTCGGTCACACCCGGCGATTTTGCAGCAACGCACATCCAAAACTAACGATTGTACAGCCACAAAATCTCAACTTTCCCGCACGTTATGGCTTGTTGTTGTTCGTAATAAATCCCTGTACGACCATGTTATTGTTCTTTTTTTCCAACCAGAATCAGTAATAAGCATTCGATACCTTCCATAATCATGGGAGCAATGTCCCAATTAGCACATGAAAACAAAGAATTACATTGGGGTCCAGCATGCGTGTATCATTACACACGCACACACACCCATTCTTCATTGTTGTATAATCTAGGTGCAGTTGTATGCATGTGCACCTTGCGCCCGAATTGCTTTACCATCCTAAGCTTACGTCGTCTTGATTTCATGCTGTGGAACTTGGTGCAATTTGACTTGCACATGCCTCCATAAGATCTGAGTTGGCCGTCAGTTAATGACCAGACCTCCCTTCCCCGTTTCTTTTTCTTATCCCGAAAAGCAAATATCTTGTTTTTCGATCAACCCAAGTCCCAGGTACCTTATGTAAGCTTCGCATTATCACCTATACGAGTAATAGCTTATTGTCGTGCATAATCTTTTTCATTGTAGATGGGCTCTAGAGACCCATTGCGGGAAAACAAAGAATAAAACGACACTAAAGAGTTACAGCAAAAAAGGTCTGTGCTCAATGCACAAATGCTCGTTGCCATACAACGAGGTTGATCAGCAACCAGCACGTCGCATAGCAACCACCAGCACACGCATGGCAACGGCATAGCATCATCCCGACAGCCCCTTTTGAATTCTCCTTTGTGATATTCACAAACGTCATAGATGATCGAATCTCCTTGTTTGATGATGTGTGTATTAACATGTGTGCGCATGCAGAGGCAACTTGGCCCGAGAATTCGATCTCGATCCAGAACAAAAGGAACATAAAGAGTGATGCCACTGAATGCACTATGACGTTTGCTGCATGTGATGATGCATTGGAGCTTTCCTAGTTGGAGCATAACATCCCTTTGACGATTTGTGATTCTGCTTTTCCCAACATGTGGGTCGTTCACGCTCGTTGACTCTATCACCTTTTGATCTTATCACAAAAGAAGGAAAAGGACTAGCGGGCCATTAGCCATGTGCTTTTTGTACGACGTAGATTGCGTTAATCGACCTAGTTACCAATTCGGTCCACTAGTTGCTTAATTCAGGTGTCGCTTAGTTTATTATCATTTGAATCTTCTATATCTAGGGCTTGCACAATGATGAAAATGAAGATCCCTTACTATAACAAAAAATTCGTTCAATGATGACGGCGATTGCATTCCAATACCACTTTTGCTGAGATGAGCGAGTTGCTGACCCAGATGTTACTTTTTAGGAAGAATGGCAGATGGTAGACTGGCGGCGATGAAGGTCGTTTGTCGCTATGGGTGATAATGTATGTTAGAGGAGAATACATCGGGCAAGGACCGGGTACGCCGAACCATGTGCATTGCTACCGTAATAGGATGTGCAAGGGAAAAAGATGAATCATCTGTCAAAAAGGGATGAAAATGAGAGAAAACAGCTGAGAATATCAGCTGATGAGCGGGTAGAGGCAATAGCACATACCAAAGACCACATGCTATGTGGATGAGCAAAAGCGGTATATTGCCGTCAGTGAGCAAATACCCTTGGGCTGCTTCCGAAACCAATAATCCTTCCTCCCTCTCTCTTTGTGTGATAATTGTACTAGGTGCCCACGTGCTGCTGGTCGGGTAAAGTATCACCAAAAGTTCTTTTTCCATTTATGCTTGTTTTGATCGTCCACACATCTTGATGCACACAGGTTCTCCGCCTATTCTTTGTACAGGATAGAGCTGCTGCTTTTTTGTTTGCAAATATTTTTATTCTTGGTTGTTGGTTTCCAGAAACATCATCCAAGCAAATTGTAATAGGAGTAGTGATGAGATGGAAGATAGCATCTATATGCCCAAATGACTAAACGTGGGTGTAGAGGTTATGTCAGCCTATGTATATAAAGATACAGCCTGCTAGATTATACGTATACGTTTTGTGTGTGATATTCCAAGAAGAGCTGTTGTTGCCCAAAGAGACTGCTGCATGAAAAAAAAGTAGGTTGTCGTGTGTCTATCAACCCACCAATGGCGATCAATGAGAGGTGTTGTTGTTTACGATGTTGGTGCTTTCTCTTGCTTCTCTTTCCGCATCATGATCGAGCCAAGCATCGGGTTGCATGATCCGTGACAATCGATATTTGACACCGAGATATGAGAGATAATTGTTTTTGGGAAAAACACGGACACGTTTAACGTTTGGGAAATGCGAATCGGTCACATCGACAAATGTACCACCCAACGTCAAGGTTTGTTCCAACTTTGTCTGGTTGATAGCATCAAAAGGGACCCATTTTTCTTCCAAAAAGACGAGCCAAGTAAAGTATGAACGCGATGGTGAAGAGGTCGTGGGTAAGGACGATGACGACATGTTATTGTTGTTGTTGCTGCTTGTAAATGAGTGATGATGGTGATGATGATGATGATGTAGATTATCCGATCGGCTCTGCCGAAACTTGAACAAGAGCTGTTGAGAAAGAGAGGATTGCATTTTCATGTCATTCGAGCCCAATGGAAGGGTATTGCTTGTGCGACGCATGCGACCACCATGGTGACCAGGTAGTGTGGTGGGTGATGAGGAAGATACCAAAGTGGTGGATGGTGATGATGACGATGATGACGACCTATGACGCGGATGATGGACTACTGTAGTAGTAGATGTGCTGCTGTATTCGGAACACGACATCGCACTCATCTAAAACGATAGCCAGCCAGCAAGGTACATGTTGATAATGTTGTCAAGATACCAGCAAGAAGAGAATGATAGCAAGGTGAATAAGATACCTGGATACAACAATGCGGTATAGTGCAAGAAGGGGAAGAAGAGAAGGAAAGGGAGTAAAAGAAAAGGGTGGCAAAGTGCTTATATATGGACCAGAATGTCCTATCATCACGATGCTATTGCTTGCACTTGCTGATGACATGTTTTATGAAGCACCACCATCTCTCTTTTGGATGCTTCGGTGCTGTTCTATGTAACATTACTTGTCATGTGTGCTCTTGGATGCGCCACACAAGCTGCTCACATTGCAAAGTGTGCACCATTCCCCCATCCCATGTATCACGTGTAGGCTCTAAAGCAAATACGCTTTCCTGCTTCCGATTTGACAGTTGACACAAACATTAATTGACAAGTTCAGCTAAAATCTTGTGTCGTTTGTTTATTGGTGGTGATGATGATGATCATGATGGAAATGACATGAGATGATTGTGGATGCAGAATGAACAAGAGGTCACGATGCATCAACCATCATGTGGTAGACCATGCGGATGATGTAATTTGAGTGGATCACTATCATGGGATTCTTGCAATTCAAAAGTGACATGCAAAGCACAAAAAGAAAGAGCATTTTATAACATACTTTACTGTTTTCGACTATCATAGTGAAAATTATACATGTTTTGGATCAAAGCTTATAGTTCTTCTAGAAGGATGTTGATTGTACGTATGAAGAAGGTCACGGGGACAAAGGGCCAATGAATAATGACCACCGCCCTACAATGAAACCATAGTCAGGCACTCCTTGACCTTTCACCTTTACCTTTGATGAAATTTGATTACGGATCGTTGATATGGAGATGATGATGACCTTGTTTTCAACCTCGGTTGCTGTGGGCCTATTCTTGCTATTCGACACACGTACTCTTGCGGGCAATCCAAAAGCTGCCTCTTTTCCCAACAGCACACACCTTTTTCTTGTATTGGAACATGCGATGGAAGAATCGTTGGCATTTTGAGCAGTGGAGCAGCGACATGAAGCTACATTGTCAATGGCATTGGTCACTGTAAGTAGTTGTGGGAAGAGTAGGGGAGACAAAAGAAAGGACATATGCTTACCCGATGCAATGGTAGGTATACCCAGTATAAAGCGGGGGAAACAACAACCAGCCAACATGAAACGCCGCGTATTGATCAGCCAACAAGGAAGGAAGGAAGATGGGACGACACATGGTTACTACGACATTGAGCTTATTATACATCATCGATCGTTGTAGTATGTGGAAATGCCAAGTCAAAGGGGGAACAACAACAATGGACAAGGAGGATATTCGTTCAGTGAGCCGATAACGGATCAAAAGAAGAAAGATCGTCCACGCGGTAATGAGCTTGGATTGCTCCGCTCCAAAATACCCACTTTGGATTGGGGTCATCAATCATCATGCACCACCACTCCTTTCATTTCTCAAAAACCTTTTCTTCCCGCGTTATTGCTTGTATCTTTTTCCCTTTTATTTCTCTCTCTCTCTCTCCTCTCCTTTCTCAGCCCGCTTTTACCATGAATCCGGATAACAATCTGGTTGCACGCACCAACACAGTCCTACCACCGAGAAGGAAGCCATCATCATCCACACAACGTCAAAGTGATATACCCAACAACAATAACAATCACCATCAACGGGTCGTCAGCATGAGTAGCGTCTCTAGTCGAGGAAGCAGTACATTTGCAAGCCCACGTTATCCAAGCGGCATGACCACCCTGACGTCATTGTCATCCGACCCACCATCTACTTGCATATCTCGCTCATCATCCACCTCTGTCAACAACAACAACGCTTATCAACACCATCAGCAATACGACACGAATCCGATTTCCGAAGATCAATTCGATATTATCAACAATCTCGATTACGACGACGTGGACGATGGATTGATTGGTGCGTATATCAACATCCTCCTCCTCCTCCTCCTTTCTCTCAACTGACAGCTTTTCTTCTTTTTGGTTAAAAAAGATCAGGAACTCGGGCATCGTAATCGAGAAGAGATTGTGCATCAATTATATGCTTCTGAACGTGCCTATATCGAATCACTCAACTTGCTATTGAACGTCTTTCTCAATCCTTTACGCAAAGATGCCAAGCAGTCATCCTTCAAGCTCCTCGGTATGAAGAAAATGGTTTGCACAGAGCGTGAGATTCGATGGCTCTTTGGCAACCTTGATGAGATTATCCAGACCCAGCGGGATATTTTAGCAAGCTTGGAGGAAAGGTAAAAAAAAAGAATAGTAGACTTGTTGCCTTTTCTCCGGTTGACCTATAGTCTCTTTCTCTCTCTCTTTCTTTGGCAGATTACAGATTTGGGGCCCTACACAAATCATCTCGGATGTGTTCCACAGTTGGGTAAGTGCGCGTATTCATTCCCCTTTGGAAACATGCAATGGAGTCTCGTACTTCCCCCGCTATTATCGTCTAAATTAAGCCTAACATGAGTCATCCTAGTTTTCATCTTTGAGCGTTTACCATGCATATCTCGATAATTACGATGTGGCTGTCACAACCTATGAACGTCTTACTCGATATCAGCCATTCAAAAAGTTTATTGACGTGAGTGGTGGTGGTGGTGTTACCATACACAACAATGTTCACTGACACACATACACATACACAATTTGCATAGTCAGCTCACAAGGATCCATCACTTCGGGGAGCAACACTTTTATCCCTTCTCCAAATCCCGGCAGGGTGCATCAACCGATACGCTCAATTGATTAGTAAATTGGCTGACATGACAACACCCATGCATCCTGATCATATGGGCTTGAGCTCTTGCAAGCAAATGGTGCTCAACTTGGCTGAAGAATTGAAACCAAAGTAAGTAAATGGCACACAAGTGAGGCTCATGTGTGTGTGTATCATTGTACTAACTAAACTATAAGAGTGGATGATGCAGATAATGTTGATCAAGTCTTAATGATTCATCAAGCACTCGTGGGTGCTCCTTTTGGTGTCAAGGCACAACGACGATTGATGTTGCAAGGGCAACTATCGCGCGTGGTAGTCAACTCTCGATCAACGGGCGAGGAACGTACCTACTTTTTGTTTTCAGACTTGCTGGCCATTGTCCGACCAAAACAAGAAGGGAAGCGCACTGTACTTCAATACAAGGGTCATTTGAATCTCGAGCGGGCTCGAATCAGGGCACTTGAAAAAGAGGAAGCGGGTGGACAAGAGCATTGTATTGAGATCATTTCCTCATTCCATGGCGTGGATACCCTCAATACCACTTATATGGGTGCACCTACTGTACATGTATTGCGGGCCAACAATCGTGAAGAACAAGAGGAGTGGCTAAAGCAATTGGATTTGGTCATTGGCAAACTCGATAGAGCTGCTGCAAAGGCACGCCATGGTAATAATCATATTGTTTATGGGCGAATGTCACTTTCCGATCATGACTAATAGGCTCTTTTTCTCTCTCTATATAGCTGCAGCAGCACGACGTATGGCACATGGTCGAGCAGGGATGGATCCTGCCATGCGACGTTCTGGATCATCCTCCAAATCATCTAGCATTTCTTCAGGTAGTAGTAGTACTGGTGCAACCTCTTCGATCCCGGAAAACTCTATTTCTTCTCGACGATAAAACAACCCAGCAAACACACACAAGTACATCGGATAATACATATTCACTTACTACCCATCTACTATATCTTTCATCTTTGTATCCATTCATTTTTATCTCATCAACCCCCCTACTCGTTTGCATATGTGAATACTATTCCATGATTTATAAAACATTTGTATAGACATGAACCTTTTATTGTCATTGAAATATAGCCATGAAATAACATGCATTTCCTTTTGACTAAATCAGGCTATTGCTTGCCCTTTTGTCGGTGTTGTGGCACGACGCACATGGTTGATTTTGATGTGTAAGCTCTTCTGTGTACCCATGCCCCAGTTCTTTTGTGTGTTGCGTTTGACAATAATATACACAGCCCAAGCAAGTGGATCTGGTACTACAGAATTGTAGGTTTTCCTATCCCTGACGGATGCGTAACTTTAAAGAACACGTCTTTGGATGAAACAACGGCGGCATTATGACAATGACCCTTAAAACCCACATACTCGGCCATAACGCATGTTCCATTGTTAGGGTTATAGATAGACCCTTTAATCCACAACCTTGTTGCTTATGTACGCACCGACCAGCATTATCGATGGGACATTAAATCGTCGTATACTTTTGTAAGATACCGATCTTTTATCACGTGTTCATAGCGACAGCGATCTTTGAGTAGAGTGGCTTCCATATTGTCATTGCTTTTATTAGAGGAGGGAGTTCCTTGCTATATTGACGGCTCACGTGACATCCTCAATTCATTCGGTCTTCTGTATAGGGATGACATCAATCCACATAGACCTTTTACGAGAGGGTAGCTCCAATGACATTATAACCATCAGACGGGCGAACAATCTCCAGCAGCAAGCAAGTAATCTTCACTCTCAAAGAAAGCTTTGGAATCAAAAAGAGGCAACCATGAGCAGTGATCTTTATTCTCACAAAGATGGCATGGCGATGACATAGCCATATCATTTGGATGGACAACGCATGAATGGGAAAGAAAGCGAGATAAGGGGTGAGTTTAGATGTGCATTGGCCAACTCGCACCATTTTGAGTAAAGCCTCCTTTCTCCAGTGTGGGAAGCAATTTTGCTACTCTTTTTACAATATGCAATGTATACACACACACACACACACACACACACACACACATCCGTTCCACGCGCTTCGTGTGTTGGCGTACTACACAAACAGAGAAAAACTTGTTGACGCGCTTTTTTCCTTCTCGTCTTCTTCCAATCAGCCAATCGTTCATCCTTGTTCTCTCCCACTCTCTCCATTGAGCTTCCATTGGTCGTGCAGCAGTTTATGCATTGGATGTCGGCAGCTATAGTAGCGACATGACGAATCACTTAGTCTCGCGTTTTCGCGTCAAGAAGCTATCGCCCAAGCAACGTTTACCTATATACAAGGCATCCCAACTGTCCGATTTATTGGATGAAGCCATCAAGTTAAATCGCTCTGTGCCTGTCATTGAGACTGGTGTGGAAAAGGAAGAAGAAGAGGAGGTAAGGATGATGATGATAATGCTGCATGAGGGGATCTCTTTGTCTCATATGGGTCTTCAAGCATGATCTTCAAGCAGCTATCAATGCAGCTCATGCAGCTGTTACGACTGGTGCAAAGATGAACAGCTACATCCCGACACCCGACGCGTCGCACACCATTGACATGGCCGAGTATCATCGCATTTACACAAAGTCTTTCGATCCACCACAGCGTTTGATTCGATTCAACACGACCGACAGCGATATTTTCAAGTGCCATTACGTGATGGATGAAGATGACATGACGTTCCTGGATCAACTCAATCAACAATCGACTGTACCTGAAGATGAGTTTGAATCAGTGATGGATCAAATCGAGCATCTCGTCAATATGCAAATGCCTCATCTGGATTTGGTAAGCACTATCTATATTCTTACGTGACGAGGTAATGGTGTACCAAAGAGAGCGAGAGAGAGAGAAAGGGAGAGTGATGGATAGGGTGGTGTTACAATTTATCATAGACCAGGTTATCTCACATACATTTATATCAAAAAAGGATCCTTCACAAATCCCTAGTTATCCAGAATTGATCAAGATGCTTCCAGAATCATTTTCCACCGATCATCCTACCTTGGAAACCATCCTACTTCATTGGCGTGAACGTCGTATTCAGCGAAGTGGAAAGCCAATCATACCACAGCTGCGCTATGAGGAATCAACACGCAAAGGTGACAGCGATCCATACGTTTGCTTTCGGCGACGTGACACCCGATCGACCCGAAAGACAAGGCGCACAGATCAACAAGCTTCAGAGAGATTACGCAAGTTACGCAGAGAAATGGAAAAGGCAAGGAATCTTTGTGGGATGGTGTTACGTCGGGAGAAGTTACGCAAGGAAGGGTTTTCCCAAGAGCATGCTGTCTTTGTCAAGCGATGCGAATTACGTGGATATCAAGCAGCGTTGGGTATCAAAGAGGAGGACATTTTCACACCTGCTTACAAAAAGAAACGACATAAAAGAGGATCACATACAAGGTAAGTTTTAGGGTTGGGGAGAGCCACGAAAGAAATAAGGCTAACAACACGCACTTGTAGCGGGAGTACTACTATCAAGATACCTCTCAGCCGACTTCGAGATGATGACCCAAGCCATGGAAAGTCGCTATTGCAATTGGCTATTGAAAAGGACTTGGCTCGTAAAAGAGAAGAGGATATTGGTTTCGAGGATATCACTTCGGTAAGATGACATTGTTTGTTGCTATCCCATGCTGGTACTAAGATTGATGATTTGTAGTGTCCTTATCAACCATTTCCATTGGATTTACCATGCCATTTTTACAACTCATTTTCGCCCAACAATGATCATGCACCGAGATTCAGGAAACGTATCGGCCGTGGTGGAAGGATATTCATCGATCGGACAAGATTCAAGGCTCCAGTTTCTTCAATAGACGATCGATATCGATTTGATCCAGACGTTGATCCTACAAAAGAAGATGTGGTCGAAGAGTATGAGGGAGAAGATTGGTAAGTTCTAGTAGTGCCTTTATGTCAAACGATGCACGTAGCTAAACGTTTTTTTACAAGTTTGGAATACCTTTGGAATAGCTGGCAGCAACCAAACAAGAAATCAAAACATCAACATGGAGACAAAAAGCAAGAACAAAGGATACCGCCGCTGCGAATACGACTTTCATCACCCCAAACTACTACTACTACTACTACAACATTATCTTCTTCTCGAAAAGGAGCACCTCATCATACCAACAACAGCGTCGTTCCGTAGCCACAACCGGCAATCAACATCCTTTTGAGCTTTGTTGTTTCTCAGCGGGGATACGGTCTCAATGGATACAATGTGTGTGATCGATACACAGTGTTACAGCCATTTCATGTTGAAAATTGACAGCTCCTCTCCAAGGCTTATACCCCAATCCGATTTCGTATTGCCATGATGGATAGAATAACAGTGAATGGTTTAATAATAAGGAAGCCTACTTTATTAATACATGTACATGATGATGATGTTATTATCTTGGAGGAGGGGGTCGGAAAGGAGAATTGATCCGTGATTGCTGTGGGCGTCGTGATGCTCTTCGAGCTGTTCCTGCCACTGAGATTGCTGCCACAGAAGCTGGTATTCTAGGAGGACGACCTGGAGGAGGTGATACCACTGTAGCATAGATCTTTCCACTATCATTCAAGGGTCGTGCAGCTTTTACCATCCTCATACTACCACGTTGCATATTATGATAATGATGTTGTGGATGATGCTGAAAGTGAACTCCTGCTACTGTTTGGTTGTCGAATGGCTGACGATGATGAGCAAATCGTTCGTTTGTCTATTTTGTATAGGGTGCATTAGCATAGAAGATACATAAGCAACAATGATCAATGTTATATAAATACCATTGGAGCATTTGGTGTATTTGGTATGAAAGGACGTGGTAAAGTTGAATTTGGGCGACGCGGTATACGAGGCTGAAAGGATGGCTCTAACGTTGTTGGTGGTGCAGGTGGACGTTCAAAGGATCCAAGCGGTGGTGGTGGTGGTCGCCCTTGTTGTTGTAGTTGATATATCATAGAATGCGCGGGTGTGTTTGTAGCTGTGGGAACATTGTTGTTGTAGGTGCCAGGAGCTGATTCGAAATTATTTGAAGGAAAAGAGATTGGTGGTCGAGGCGCCATTGGCATTGGTTGCTGAATATTGCCTCCTGTTGACATGGATGCATTGTCTTGGTGCTGTATCATCGATTGTTGCATGCTTGATGTCAGCATTTTACGTTTAAGTTTCTCATAGAGCGTCTAATCTCATTAGGTTAATGCTTGAACAAGCCCACTTTGATCATCCTTCCTACCTGCAGTTTTTGAAATTGCCTCACTTTTTCTTGAAGCTGCATTTGAAGATCATGTGCACGACGCTTTTCTTGCTCCTGCTCTCGCCTGGCAACTAAATCCAACCCATCAATTTTGATGACCAGTTTTTTATCATCCACACATACCTTGTGTATGCTCTCTTTCGACTATACGTACATGTACGATGCTTAGTGAATACAATGACAACATGAATGATTCCTAAAAAGAGTACCTTGAAGAGCCCGCTGTGCCTCGCTTGAGACGTTCCGCAGCCTTTCTTGAAAAGTGTTACATCTTGTCTCCAACGTTTGGTGGACCATAGCTCGATAGCAAATCTCTTGCGTAGTCTGATAATGATAGAATGCAATGGCTCGGCTTGCTATATCCATAATGATATCGGGTCGCATTCCTGCCAACACTGACTATAGTGTGATCTGCATCAATGTTTGTGTATGTTGCTACAATAGTAAAGTAGTACCGATTTATATTGCTCCGTTGGATTAAGCTCGGACAAGACGATATCATCGCTGGTGGGAGGAATGGGATAAGTAACGGTGTCATTCCTTTGAAGGAGACACTCACCTTTGGGTAAGACTAGTTTCACATGCTGGACATACGAGTGCTTTTGAAAAGTGATGGTTTGCACAATCCATGCAAAAAATGTCTAAAAAAGAAGATGATGAATACTTGTCAAGGAGAGGAGGGATGCCAATGGTGTTTGTGTACGTGAACAAGAGGTGACACAAGCCTATGCATATAGCCAAGTCAGCATCTGACATGTTCTTATTTGGCAGTAGATTTGATATCATACGCGTGTTTCTTGTGAGAGGGGTTTTCGACAATGAATAACGTTGCAGCAAATGTCTCCATCGGTTTCCATGAAAAGAATTGTTTGTGGGGAAGAAGAAGAAGAAGAAGAAAGATCACTCCACGCTGCTCCCAAAGAAATAAGAGCCTGGATTGACAGCTGTGTGTGCGCAGTCCTGAAGTTTGCTTTAATTTCTTTATTAAGCCCTTCATCCTGCCTTCCCCATGTTCAGGGCTACAACACGCACTCGCATTCATTGGATTACACCTTGCCGATCTCGATTCACCATTTCTCCTTGCCGTCATGCTTATCCAAGTCTCTTCCCCACTCGCACAGCATCGTCCACTTCAACAACGGTGATTCAACCTGGCATCAAAGGACGATCCAAGCAAGACATTATGAAGTTCTTGTACGGCCACCAACAACGACCTGTGCCTGGAGGCAAACCCAACACGATCTTGACGCATTGTCCTCATTGTCTTTATATTCGCAAGTCGAGTTTTGCAGCGTCAGTGAATATCGAAACGGGGACGTATAGTTGTAAGACGTGTCATTCAAGTGGCAGCTGGCAACAGTTTACAAAGACATTACGCAAGAAGCTCGCACACAACAATCGCCCTGACTACGCCATCCAAGGATCATCAGACCTATTCTCCAATACGCAACCCGCTTTTGAGCATTCAATTGAAACGATTGCCGCCTATCCTTCACAGCTTTCAGATGCAGCATTGACAACAGTAGCCGACCGATATCATTTACGACCTGATGTCATGCGAAAGTATCAAGTGGGACTTGGCGAATACAAAGACACGGCATGTTTGACGTTTCCACAAACAGTACTCGTTTATGGCCAAGAGAATGACGCGTTTCAGGTGGAGACAATGCGTGTCAAAGCATGTGGACTTGAGAATGATGCATTGATCACCTATGATCCACCTACGGCTACACATCATGCGACCGGTTTATTCGGATATCACACCATTCCATCGGATGCGGATACAATCATTCTTACACGACGTGAAGTGGATGCTATGGCTGCTTATCAAGCAACGGGTGTACCAAGTGTGTCATTGCCTACCAGCGACTATTATCAACTCCATGAATCAGTCTTGCCATTGTTGGAGCGATTTTCAAAGATTTACGTGTGGATGGATAAGGATATGGATGGTCAAATGGCGTCTGAACGATTCGCTTCCAAGCTAGGAGATGCTCGTTGTTTGCTGATCAACAATCAACCACTACCTCATGATGCATTGGTGCAGGGAGATGATTTATCCGGCATGCTACAATCAGCTCAATCGATCAAGCACGATGAGATTATGGATTTCACCGATTTACGTGATCTTGTTCAAAAAGAAGTCCTTTATCCAGAACAAACCCAAGGCGTTCAATCCACGGATCTACCATCGCTCAATGGTATTCTCAAAGGACATCGTCCAGGTGAACTTACCATCCTTACGGGTTCCACCGGTGCGGGCAAGACGACCATCATTAGTCAGATCAGCCTTGATTATTGCAAGAGTGGTGTGCCTACACTATGGGGCTCCTTTGAGATTGTCAATCGACGCTTGGCCAAAAAGATGTTGTATCAGTATGCAGGAAAGGATATCAGCAAATCACCAGAGGAATTCGATCAATGGGCATCTGAATTTCAACAAGTAAGAAAAACAATGAGTGTCAAACACAAAGAAACATCGCTCACATGCTTCCTCTTCACATAGCTTCCCCTCTACTTTTTAAAGTTCTTCAGCAGTACAGCTGTGCGTGATGTATTGGATGCTTGTCGACATGCTGTTTACGCCTATGATGTACGCCACATTATTTTGGACAACTTACAATTCATGCTGTCACAACAAGGTCGGTCGCACCAGGATCGGTGGGAGCTTCAAGATGACGCCATTGCTGAGCTACGACGTTTTGCCACTGAACAAGATGTACATATTACTCTGGTGGTGCATCCTCGTAAGGATTCGGGTGAACAACTAGACATCAATTCTGTTTTTGGCAGTGCCAAGGTGACTCAGGAAGCTGACAACGTGATCATTATCCAACGTACTACCAGCTCCCTTGATATTAAAAAGAACAGGTAAGCATCACAAAGACATGTGGTATGACATTATATGTATTCATTGTCTGTATTTAGATTTGATGGCACACTTGGCTCAATTCCTTACAAGTTTAACCGTGACTCATTAAAGGTAAAGGAGAATGGGAATAGAAAGGAGCTTTATCTAAGCATTGTGTATGATTGTAGATCGAGGAGCTATCTCAGGATGAGCTAAACCAAAGGGAACGAGCACTAAGGAATACTCTCTCTTCACAATCCTCTCGTACGGTATATCCAAGGAAACGCTTTCCATAGCATAGTGACCCATTACACCCTGTAGATAGATATTAACATAGACAACAGTGATGAGTAAAAGGCTGTGTACATTATGTATGATTGGGTTGGATATCGTTTATTCATGCACAGGTCTCAGATCTTGGATTTGTTTGATAAGGAAAGCTTTCTCATCATTGAATTGTTCATCATCTATAAAGACAAAGAGTAAGCAAAGGTGGTGGTGGTGGTAGGTGGCACAATGAAATTTGCTTCATTTACCTTGTCTATCATTGTGGAAATTGTTCAGGAACACGACCAACTTTTCTTGGTTCTTGAGAAGAATGTCCAGGATAGGCTTATTCTTGTTGGGATTGGCAACAAACACCTATTCGATGTGAATGAATACAAAGCGTATTCTCTCTCTATTCATGCACACCCCTTTACCTTGAACACATGAAAAGCTTCAAATTGAATATTCCGACTACGATCTCGCAACAAATTCATCATGAGCTTGAGGTTTTCTGCATTGCTGATATATCGAGTCATGACGTTAAAGTTGGATCGATCCAAAAGAATCTCGCCCAGCAACTGAATAAAGACCCAATTAATCTCAATAAATGGCACTCTTTTTTGGGGGAGGGGTTCCCTTCATCCATTACCTTGAGTGATTGGCGTTTTGTGACATAGTTGGATGAAGTCAAGAGTCGCTTGTAATGATCGAAAAACTATAAAGAAGGAAGGAATGAATGAGTTTCACTACCATCATTGGATAGGCGTTGTTCTCTCTCTCTTACCTCGTCATAGTTGGCATCCAGATACTCGGCAACCATTTGTTTGTGTTTTGTGAGAATTTCCTTGAAAGAAGCAAATGCATCGGAGGCGATATCAAAAGTGCTCATCTCGACATAGTCAAAGAACAAATAAAAGTTGGGAGAATAAAGGATGATCTTGGCAAGGGCTTCGTTCCTGAGACATTCGCGTAAAATCAAGCCGCAATTCAATGCCACTTCGGGATGGTCGTAACCACGCAACAAGGTAAACAGTAATTCCTCTCTTGTACACAAATATTCCACCGTTGGCAACCGAGAACCAATTTGCCTTCGTAGCAAGTTGTTAAAGATTTGTGCCACGTCCTTCTTTGCCTACATTGTCGATATGAGTATCCCATCCCCTTTTCACGATTTTCTCACACAAACATTGCCCATCCACACACACACACTCTCTCTCCTTTTTACATACCTCAAAGTCGAGTTTACTGATATTAAGTACAAGCGCCTGAAGTAAATCATTGTTGTAAATCTCTTGAGCTAACTGTGCTACTTGATCCGGGCTTGGGTCGTTGTCTAAAGTTATGCCATGTCAGCTCTCCCTCTATATATATAATCTATCTTGGTGAGGGTACTTGCCATAGAGAATAGTCTTCATAGATACAAGGTGCTTGGAAATCTCCTCGTTTGCCTAGTAGATAGATAGAAAAAGGGATACTATTAGATATCGTTTACAACAGTAGTGTGCATCCTTCTCATTGTCGGACAGAAAGAAGCCATGTGTCAATGCTTTACCTTGCGTCGATCCGAACCATCCAGTCGAGCAATGGCATCTTTTGTCAGCTTGACCAGATCGTGAGGGGTCTTTTGCTTTGGTTTGAAAATGTTAAAGTTCATTGAAGACGGCATTAAGACGTGATAAAAGTGAAGAAAAGTGTAGCAGTTGCGAGTTCGCGGAGTGAGAAGTATTGGCAGGGTGAATGTTTAAAAGAGGGAGGGGTACACACGCACACACATACAATGTGCTCCTATTGCAGAGAAAGAAAAAAAGGCAGGGAAAAAGAACCCCAATAACTTTATTCTCAAGCCTGTGTCTTCTTTTTACCCTTCTTGGTCACTAACTTGAAACCTTCATCCAAGGCTGTACTATTTGTCACCGGGATGGTCACGTTAAACTTGCCTGCAATATCCTCCTTTCTATTCTTAATAAATTCATTGGCAAATCGTCTTCCATCCATGGATGTAGAATTGGCATAAATGATATCTTGAATAATCTCTCCAGTGCTGGCATCCAATGGAAACGATAACAGCATTTGTACAATCTCGTCCACTATACACACACACATACACACACATGCATTAGAATCATCGATCCTTTCCTTGTGTTTCACAATAGCACGTTGTTCTTACCATTGACTCCTCGATTCAATCCACGCAATGATTGACGACACCAACGCATGAATTCTTCACTAGGAGGCTTCATATCACCTTCCATGGCCGATTTGATAGGAGGAGAAACTTGCTTCTTCACTTGTGTACGTTGCTGTTGTTGCTGTGGTGGTGATCGACGGTCAATGGATGATGATGGTGTCGTTGTTTTCGACATAGATCGATTGCTGCTGTTAGTAGTGCCCTATTTTCTCACGTAAGTATTATGTAATCTATCTCAATGTTTCCCATTTTACCTTTGGCGTAGGCCCTTCTGCAACATTAGCGTATCCTTTGATAGCTGACACCATTCCAGCATTGTTTGTTGATGATGATTTTGCTTTGACTTTGGATGCAGCTTCTTCTTCCTCTTGTTGAATCTGACGAAGCGTCTTTTTTGGTGCAGCTGGCAATTCCCATGGTGCTTTGGATTCCCCTTTGCTTTGCTCAACATCCTCAGCCCATGCATCTTTTTGTTGACTTTCTTGCGCCCTGGCATCTTGAACTTGTCGCTGCAAAGCTGCTGTCGCTTCCTTCTCTTGTTGTGCCTTGATTGCTTGTTGCTTATCAAGCTCCTCGGCTTGGATATCTCGCAAAGAAACAGGCTTGTTGGCAGGTGGTGCACTGTTTTTGGGTTCTGAGATAGAAGGTGCAGGTGCAGATGGTGGTGGTGATGTGGTAGGCGTTGTTTTCTTCTTTGCTGGTTCCTTCTTTGTTGGTTCCTTTGTTGGTTCCTTCTTTGTTGGTTCCTTTGTGGCTGGTTCTTTCTTTGCTGGTTCCTTTGTGGCTGGTTCTTTCTTTGCTGGTTCGTCAAGTGATGGTGCACCTTGATCAGCATCGTTCAATTGCATATCAGATAATGGTTTGGTGATTGTATCCTCCACTGGAACATGGTTGTCTTCTGAAATCGTCTTTTGTTGTTGAGTTGTTGTTGTCTTATCCTCATTTGTTGCCTTATCCACTGCTGCCTCAGATATAGGTGATTCTTGGGGTATAGTCTTCGGTTCAGCTTCAGGCTCCACAACTTGATCATGTTGCTTAGGTGGTGGTGTAGTAACGGGTTCAGCCTTTTCTTCTGTAGATGCTGGGGGTGTGTTTGTTTGGGTAAATGGCGGGAATTGTGGTTGATTTTCATATTGCTGTTGTTGACCAGGCAACGGTTGCAATGGTGTTCTCTGATCTACCGATGGGTGATATTGCTGCTGCTGCTGTTGATATCGCAAATACTTCTCCTGATTTTGCTGTTGTAACATACGTAGATGTTGCTGTTGTTGCTGATATTCATTCATTGCACGCTGATACTCCAAGAATCCAGGGGAACCACCCATATGTGATGCGAGATGTGGATTCATAGCATATTGAGGAGGTGGATGATAGGGTGACGGGCCAATATTGGAGGAATCCATACCACCTGAGAAAGGTTCATTATTCAGCCATGAAGGACCTCTTGGTGGTTGTTCTGTACTAGCCAAAGATGAGCCACGGTTGACAACAAATCCTGGATCGGTGATATTGCTACGGCTGGGATCCACCATTCCATGAGCCATGGATTGCTGCAAAAGACTTGAAGAGACCCCAAGTGAGCTTGGATACGCTCCATTGCCAAATCCAGGCATTGGCATTTGCAATGGACCACCGCCATGCGTATCCGTTGATTGTCTGCCAAGGATGTTACCAGGATAAGGGCCTCTAGCAGGCATTGCATCAAACTCCACTGATCCACCCAATACGGCTGACGATACTCCACCAGCAGGAGGATGAAATGATGATAGCATGGCTGATTGAGGAGTAGGCATTCCCATACCACCACCACCACCACCACCCATGGTTGCTGCTGAATGCAAAGAAGCCGATGGTAGTCGATTGGCAGTCCGAAATGGTTCCTTGTCGTCACCCGTTTTCCTGACAAGATCAATCAATGGCTCAAATTGAGGTTGATCTTCACGCCGAATCATCAAAGTGGGAGCAAAGAAACCAGCCTTGAACCAGTCTTGCATTTCTTCAACACCAAAGGGTCCTTGGATATTGCCTTGAGGATCACGATACAACCATTTGTACGAGGTCTCAAGCATCGATGCCATGCCACTCATATTGTTGCTGTCCATTTTCAAAGGAAGATCCATGCCAGCTGATTGAGAAGGAGGGCGAGGAGCAGCAAAGTTCAGTTGATCAGCACCACCTCCAGCAGCAATTTCACGATAGCGGACATCGTGGGGCTGAATGTTCTCCTTGCCAAAATCAATACCTCCACCACCACCACCTCCTTGTCGTGCTTCAGCGCCTGAAGGAGGAATACCAGCACCACCAGCACCAGCATTGCCATCAGGTCGAAATACACCGTTGCTGTCAAATGTCCCCACAGCATCCTTATTGATGGAACCCCAAGCAGGTACATCCTCTTGTTCACCATTCTCCATAGAGTGTCCAATGCCATCAGATTGTGTCCAACCACCCGATTGACCAAGATCTAATCACGTGAATGAATGAGGATACAAGCAATTAGATGGACCATTATACAACTTACCATGCTCTTGTTCCTTGATGGATCTCTCGTTAAATTGATCATCATCTGAACATGAAACACATGAGCTCTTTTTTTTATTTAATGTATCCATTCTGATATATAGTATACCTCGTTTATATTGATGATGCATGATGCCATCATTTGCATTCCTCGCATACATTGCGCCATGAGGTTGGTCTTGTCCTTGAAGAAATTGCATATCATTCGAATGAGCAGGGCCAGCCAACATCTAATGAATTACGTAACAAACAATCAACGATAAAGATCCACCCACTGCCTCAATCCACATGCTATAATACTTTACCTTTCCTTCTTGCTCACCCAATGGACCAGCAAACGACAAGGAAGGTTGCGAGTCATGTTGTTGACCTTGAAGCTTGGCAGGAACTCCACCCGATTGATACATGCCCAACATCAAGTCGTTGGCGTATTTGTAACGGGGGTCTACGCCTGGACCTGAAAGCGAAGGCTGCTGCTGCTGCTGTTGGTGCTGCTGCTGTCCGTGGTTAACGTTGAACTGAGGATGGCGAGATGAAGTCGTGGATGACAAGGCATCGAGTCGGTTGGAGCCATGTTCGCCAAGGTTCGAGGAAGTCGATGAAAAGTAATAGGCGTTATCAGTGTTCAAGACATCAGATCGATTGTCGTTGGCAAGAGTTGGGCGCATCCTAAAGTCATTGAAAAGGACAATCAGTCAAGACGATCCAGTGTCAAGCAAAGAGAGTATACCATTCATAGCCGAGGTGCATATTGGTAGAAGTCGTCATGGGAACAGGTTTAGACAAAGTCGTAGGTGAAAGAAGAGATAATAAAAGCGTGTCGGGCGATTTAGACTGTGTGAAAGAAGCTATTATAGAAAGCACACATTGGGCGAAGGGCCCTTTATCCCCCACCGTGACAGTGACTAATCCCTTTTTCGTTTGATAACATGTACCCTTTTCACTCACTCATACCTATTTCAAGGGTGAAGGGAGGAAGGACACTCTTGTTAAACACATAACGTGTGTATGCGTGTAGTATGATGATGTGTCAATGACACCTTTGAAATTCACCCCTTTGACTCATTATTGCCCTAAGCGTGAAAGGGGATGAGGGTGGTTCTTTCATGGCATTTGTATTGCGTAACATGTACATATCTTAACCTGCCTTTCATGAGTGGAGTAGAGTATGCCACAACAACAATAGAATGATATTTGACGAATGTGCCAGGTCAGCTCTGGCATTCGTAAGCGTTACACAAAAGATTCGTTTCCTGCATTTCATATGTCAACCAATCAGAAACATTGTGCCGCTTCAGGAAACGTGCTGCTAATTACAACGGCTTTCTGAGGTAGCTTCTTTATCTCTAATAATAGCATACATGGCATGTCTCTGAGCTGAACAAGATAACTTGATATGAGGTTGATATCTTCGTTTATGACAAGCAGCACATGCTGGTTGGTGATTGAGTATGCTTACTGCAACGCATACCTGAGTGGGATCGTTCAAAGGTAATACGCTTGATTTCAAAGCTCTTCATATTTGCATTGATAATCTTCAAAGCCTTCCATCCTTTCAAGAGGTTCAAAGCAGCAACAGCTAGATTACACTGATGGTATCATAGCCGAAACGACAATACAGCTTCCAGTATAAGTCATCGTCGACATTTATTACACCAAGTCTGATAACGTGCTGTGATGGTCCAAGTCATTAATGCTGTCGTGAATAAAACACAATATGTATGAGAGCACAGCAACTGCATGAGCACTTTAACAAGTTGCTTTAGTACCACCATTTTATGGAGAGGATATTGGAAGTATCTAGCTACAATGAAAGCTACCTTTTCCTTTCAACCACATGCAAATCAGCAAGGTTGCCAACTACAGAGAACTCGTGGCAAATCTGCTTTAGCCATTGCATAGATGATATCACGTTTGGATCACATATTGAACCTCCCAAGGTATGTGCCTAGTACACATTCATTCAATGATGCATGCATCGTTTATTATACATACTTTATTGAGAGCACACATGTGAGGATGAATGTACGATACAAAAGGGATCACGTGATTCGTGGGGTGGTTGCTCCAAAGCCGAATTTCCTGAAATGGGCGCTTACTTGCCGACCAAGCGTTGCTTTATCTTCTTTTCCTTTAATTCATGCCACTCCATGCAGCCACATCGCTACATTAACGAATTGGAGCATTGGAGACATACTTCGCAGCGTCCACAACAATATCGCTCACCTCAGCAATCGCCATTACAGTCACCCACGTTATCACCAGAAGCAGCTTCCAAAGAACCACCCAATGCGCACGATGCTGACACTGCTTCGGAAACCGACAATGATAACAAGACAACGTCCAAAGCCTTCCAAGTAGAGTCTCCTCGAGGATGGCTTGAATATGCACCTTCAGCGTCGTATTCTACGGAACGCAAAAAGGTTCAGCATACTACAACGAATGAGGATACTATCGGCACGAAGGGCCGCGGCAACAATGAGAATAATGGCAGCACCAGAAAGCATAAGCAATTGGAGAATCAACGGCATACCACAGCAGCTTCCAATGCTACGGATTCTCAAACTGGTATGATTCAACATTACGAAGAGTGGTTGCTATGGAAAATGCTGACAATGATCTTATTTCAGCCAGGGATATGCTGTGTGCTGTATCATATGAAGACATTGTGAAACTCACACAGATGGCTGCTCATTTACCGGATACAAGTCTTGCCAGCAAGTATCCTAGCAATCGTACTCATCAACGCCAACGATCAGGTATGTGCATACATACGCACATTGAATTTCAAGGGTAGTCCATTATTGACATGATTGAATATTTAGAGGAACCAAGTCAGCGCATCAAACATCATGCTCGTAGTAGATCCATGGCTCGACCTTCAGGTGATTTTTGCCTTGATGATACTCGACATAAGCCAAGCAGATTACGCATTGATCCAGGCACATCAGCGAGCACTGAAAACTTGACATCCAATCACGTTGATACGAATGCTGTTCCCATTGTTACACGTTCATCTCTCAGTACACCACCACCTTCGACACAACAGCTTGTCAATGCACGAGCAACCAAGTCTTTTGATCCGAATAAGAACGAGCATCGACGATCATGGTACAAACCGTTTGTCAAGCGAGACAAAAAAGGCAAATCCAAAGACACCTCATTTGCCGATTTGCAAAGTTCTATATCGGCTGAAGCAGCAGCAGCAGCAGCATCACCATCCTCTTCAATTGATACTGGTTCATCCATGTTACGTGATGGAAGTCATAGTAGTGCTGGTAGCCATGACATTCGCTATCTCATGACCATCTCTCAAACGGAAAGCAGTACCCCGAGTATTGGCAACAGCGAGGGTCGTGCATCAGCAACCAACAATACGGACCCTGATTCTCATGCATCATCATCATCATCCGACAATCGTAAACGTTCATCACTTCATCCAACATCACTTATCAAAGGTCGCTTAATTCCCAGCAGCATCAGAGCCTCATCGGTTGACTCGAATACTAGCTCCACTACCACCAGCAAACAGAAACATTTTCGCGGCAAACCTTTTTCACTTCCACGACGACGACATTCATTTGACAGCATGCATTCTTCGACAGCATGTAATAATGAAGATTCACGTGCAAAAAGACGACGACGAAGATCAAGTGCAGATCCACTTGTTGTCACGAGCAGGAACAACAACAACAAAAGTCATCCAACAACAACAACATCACCATCACCAACAGAGGAGAATTGGGAGGTGGAGAAAAAACAGCAACCTGTTGTCCATTTTGATAACGACCTCTTGCAACGATCAGCGAATACTTCGATCCATTCACGATCCCCTGATGTAAGCTTATCTTTTATTACAAGCATTGTTATTTGTATTCACACGTGACATGTTGTAGTTTTCACCGGTGCAGGACATTCGATCATCATTTGACCTCTATGCACCACCACGAGATGACGATTTGAACAAGCGTGATACAAGTGATGCGGACTCGTGTCGATTTTACCCATCAGGAAGTGAGGATGGCATCAAGAGCAACCGTGCTAGCATCAGTGATTACAGCGGTATCACCTCTACAGCACCTTCCGAAGGCGGTGGTGTTGCCAGTCGTGGAGGATCGCCTGAACCCATTGAACCTCAAGAGACGACCAAGACCTTGATGTTTGATTATGGAAGTCTTCCTGATGAGGTCCTCGGGCTGTTGAAGGAATATGAAAAACAAGGGAAGATGGAGATTGTGGAAAAGCGTGTACGCTATACACGTGCTCAGGAGAAGGAAGAAGAAGACGAGGAAGAAGAGGAAGAGGAGGAGGATGACGATGAAGAAGACGTGATCGATGCTTCACAGCTTGTTGGTGGTATCCCCTTCGTTAATGATAAGCCCGTTGGCGACTCTCAGAGTGAAACGGAGTCCATGATCACGAGAAAAATAGGTAAGGTGTCTCGTTGTGTAAAGATAAGAATGAGTGTTTAACATGTAATCCTTAGCAATTGTGCGTGCAAGCAAATCGGATAACGCAGATTTCGTCAAGCTTATTCATCTCACAGATGGCCGGTCATTGAGAAATGGTAAGATGAGTGATACTATCATGTGATTATTGAGCTCACATGGGATATTGTTTCAACAAGGATACCTGCTTGATCTCCATGTTACGATGGTGGAAGACGCTGAAGATTTAAGCGAAGACGAGTAAGAAGGATAGGCTGGGTGGTGGATGAATGATAGGGGGTAACTTTGACAACTCATCAATGATACGTTCATAGGAATTCACAAGAAGATCTTCATATGCTTATGAAGAATTTGGATGTTCGCATTGAAGAATTAAAAGGCTTGACCCAGGCCTCGAAGGTAATTGGATCTCTTTAATGGGAAAGGGACACTTGTTAATGTAGCATTGTTGCTGTGTAGGAATTCATGGATGAAAATCGCAAAACGATCGAGGCGCTAGCTGTTGATGATTCTGAACGCAATAGCTTCGACGCTTCTACCTGGCAAAGTCCACCCAATAGCCGGCAGACATCTACAAAGAGTATCCACAGTATCAAGGAAGTTGCCATGTCACAAGGGTTGGAAAACGAGCAAGCACGTTCAAAGAGAAAGGGTGTATTCTTTACGAATTCTCCATCATCAGCATCGTCATCATCTAGCTCATTGGGGGCATCAAGTACCAACACCGCACCTCCAGCAACCTTGTCAAGATCATCGCGCCAACTTAGCTTTTCATCTTCTATCAGACATGTGCCTTCCCTTCGCCTTGATACACATTTGCCCTATCGGTCCGTCAACCCTTTCGACTATCGACAAGAGGAAGTGCAACTTGGCGTGTGTGCTTTGGAGAACGAAATGATCGAATTTAAGCGAGCCTTGTGTGAAACGGAAGAGCTTATCCGTGACATTCAAATTGATATCAGTGACACGCGACAAAAGATGGCTTGCTATATCAAGGACATGCCAGATGCCCATTATTCAGCTGTAAGTGAAGATGGAGGGAAAAAGAAGACTCGACGCTAACATACAATGCTTTTTTAGCTCAAGAAACTTGAAGTGGATATCGAATCAATATTAGCGAATCGAGCAAAGAATCCATGGCTTGATACCGGTTATGCATTACTTTCGTATTTATTAACACGTAAGTGGGATCAAGATTGTGTTAGCTCGGGACTAATCAGTGTGGTGTGCATGTAGTGTGTGCCTTGCTCGTATGGATCATCATCTGTGCATTAAAATGGGGTCGTACAGTGATCTTGTTTCCCCGGAAACTATGGCGTACCTATAATGAATACCTCTTGGAGCGTAACAAGGCTGTCAAGCAAGCTAGTTTACGGACGGTTTCCTCTGGTGTCGAGCTCAGCTCAGCATTACGCAGTCCCACTCGCCCACGGCATCGCCATCAAGACCTCTAAGATCATCATCACCATCTTCATTGTTCTCCATATCTCATTCATTATTCATATTGTTTGATACCCATTTAATCACTCCTAATTCCAAAACCACTACTTTTTCATGTGCATATCCAAGTAAATTACATGTTCCCAAGTCTTTCTACAAAACGGCAATGTCGTTTATTTGATGGGGATGTTGCGGATTGTTGTGTGTAGTGTTGTGTGTGTGTGTTTGTGGATGGATCTAAGCGGTTTAAGCAGTCTTTTCAAAATCAAGCTTGACACCCTTTTCCTTCAAAGACTTTTCAGCTTCCTTGGTAGCCCAGGAGACAACGCTATAGCAACATAAATGATATGAATAAAGAGGTTCGGTATGCTCTCATTGTTGTCTTTACCTGGTATCAGGCTTGTAATACAAAGCAACAGCCATGAGGAAGAAACCACCGCCCATGCCCCAGTTGTAAATGCTTTCCCACTCCTCCTTGACACGAGTCTAGGTGATAGGATGGGATCATTAGTATATGCGTTGTCAACGAGGTGGGTGTTTTTCAATGTTGCGTTTGTTGAATGACTTGAATACCTTTTCGTTGAAGAGATAACCTCCAGGCTCATTGACTTCGGGAGCACCACCGCCGCCACGGCGCATAACGGTAGGACGAGTGAGTCTCGCAGATCGTGCAAATGCTCTAGCCAACATTGTCGATTGGTGTGTGTGTGTATAGTAGGCTTAAAGGGTGGAAGTGAGTGCCGTGCTTCTGAAAACAAATTCAAACTTGCCTGCTCACAGCCGACGTCATTCGTCAATGTTTGACAACCCGCCATCCGCTCACTCTCACCTTGCCCATTAAGGGGATCGTCTGCAGATATAGATGTTCTTATAAGCTAGAGATTGTCAATAAGAAGTATCATGATTTCAATGTATGTAAAAACTTCCTTTTGAAAATTAGACGTTGTCTCAAATCCTATTGTTTTATCATCAACACATGCGGGGGGCTACTATGGGTAAGCATCGATGTGTCTGCTCAAGAAGAAGAGGGGCTGATGATGCTTGATTGCATACCCCATATGATTTCTATTATCGCTATCAAACGCGACATGATAAAAGAAAGATGTATTAAAGAAGCGTGGCTTTGGTGTCGCCTTCCATTTCTGAAGGAGGATTGCATCTTGCAGCTCACTTCCTTAATAACGGATGTTGTTCCCTGCGCCTGTAAAGTTCTCAGGTGAATGCTTTGTTTCCAAGCTTGTATTTACACTTTTGCAGAGAGCTGCTGCACTATTTACTATCTTTGCCCACCAATGGTTCATTATGATACGATTTATTGATTTAGGTATCGTGTTTTGGACTGCAGCCAACAATGAGTCAATAGATTGAGCGCTGCAGTGTGGCCAACATGAGCCAACAACTGAATCTGCTTCAATTCGTGCATGATTCTATTTACCAAGGCTGCATGGATAAGGTGAAACCCATTTTTATGCGTACTTCAAAGCATTCTACTTCCATCACTTGCTGATAACAAGTTGTGATAATGGTCATGAGCTTTGTATGTGTTGTTCTTTGCATAAAAACTCGTTGAATACCGGGAGCATGTAATACAAAGACTTGTAAAGTTGTCTCTTGGGAGATTGAAACGCACTTGTTTAAATACTGGTCGACAGCGGAGCTATTTTAGGTGGCGTTGGCATCATTGCATGTAATCCAGGGTGAGCCTTGCTAGGTGATTTTGTCAAATCGTTCATCACCCAATAATGAAAATAAGGCCTATAGCATTTGTTTTGCTCGAACACTATACTAAATCGTTTGCTGCTTGTACATTGAGAATGGCTGTGCTTGTCTCTTGAGGGGCACAATAGCAGTGTCCATTCAGCTGAGTTTCCCATGTCATGTATGCAGTTGGATAGCAAGCACCCTATTCATTGTCATCTGGCTACATCCATAGTCCATATCATATGGTATGCAGTAGGATCGATATAAGCTTCGTCGTCATTATCGATTGTGTATCTCTATACTTGATCATCAAGGTTACTTTTTTGCTCCTTTTGATGCACCAGCATGCAAGTACGGTATACTTGTCGCGTTTCACAAAATCCAACGTTCCAGGAAGGGAAACGGTGGTTTGCAACTATTATTTTGGGCCGGGTATTATAACAATTCCCATGATTGTTGTTACGTATCAGCATTCTCATTATCTTTATCTTAATGATGATTCTAATGAATAGTCTAGATCACACTAAATGGTGATGCGATTTATTTTTATATGCAGTCGTAGGCTGAAAAAAGATCAAATGAGCCGATAATATATTGGTGGAACGATATAAAGTGAGAAGGAGGAGGAGGAGAAGAGCTCTCTTAGTAGTAGTAGATGCAATGCACTGCACGCACTTTGGACGTTTGTGTATATGGCCGCAGAGAAAGACAAAAAGGAGTAAAACCGGGTAGTAGTAGTAAATAGTAGTAGTGATCTTTGTCGAGTGTCCGCCATTACCCTTTTGTTCATGATGAATGATGTCCCTTACTCCTTACTTTAACAGGGCGCCAAACGGGAAGCTGTTCCGGCCTCGTGTCACCAAAATGCTCCTGGACACCGAATTGGATGCTCATTGGTCAAAGTGCCAAAAGAGAGAGAAAAAGGGGTGAGCACATATGACTGAAGGAGGGAATGGCGGTGTATTAGGCAAAAGCGCGTTTTGGAACCAATAGATTGAAAAGTATCCCAGGGGTAAATGATGATAAATGATGCGAGTGGTGAGTGATGAAGATGTGGGTGTTTGTTGGGTAAAAGTAGGATGGCGTTTCTTTAGGCGGAGAGAAAGAGAGAAATAGAGAAAGCTCATGTCGTGTACAGTATAGCAAGGCAACCCAAAGCACATGATTTGAATGACTGCTGCCCCGCCTTTTGCACCTGGGAGTGAGGAAGAGAGTGAGCGAGAGAGAGAGTAAGAAACACCACGCGCCCAAAAAAAGGCAAGAGCTTACTCTGTTGCTCTTCCTTTTTCTCTCTTTTTTTCTTTTACCTTTTCCATGCCTCTCTATTGACTTTGGCAGTAGTGCCGCCTATTCCCTCTTGTCATTTTTAAGCATATCTCCCGTCTCTATATACCCCCACCCTATCTCTTCATTCTTCTTTCATACCCGGCATTGGCATCTCTGTGGATAACATTCATACTCATTTTCACCAATTTCAACAATCAACGTTGCATAACCCTCCAAAAACACCCTCGTATAACCATCACTTTCAGCATATATAAGATTTGTGAGTGTTGTGAATGGGGGTACTGGATACAACAGTAGCTGCTTGGCTGACATGATTTATCTGCAGCATATATACAATGACCGTCGTTACTGCAGCAAACCCGTTACTTCCGCCAGTGTCGGTCAAGCAATCCATTTCTATACAACCGGAAGATTCCGTTTTTGATCAACTTGCGGCCATTCAGCTACCCGACAAAGAAATCAATGACATCTTGAACTTACACGACTCGCTTTCCTTGGAACAAATCGTCAATCGCTTCGATGCCATCGCTACCAAAATGACGACTTGGTTACAAACAGCACAAATGGCAGTCTTTACGCTTGAGATGAATGTCAAGGAAGAGAATCCACAAAGCATGCATGATACCCAATCGATATTGGAATTCTCTTTCGGTCGAATGGAGCCACTTGTATCCATCCTTGATGAGATCAGCAATGTTGTACTCGACAAATTGGATGATCATGATGACGATGATATGGGAATGACCCCAATGCAACTACAAGAGCAAAAGATGAAAACAAGGATGTCGTTGACCAAGATTCAATCCGAGTGGTCTGGATTGCAGCATTTTTTGACATCGGTGATACGACAACTTGAAAGCATCAATGAGAAAAGGGAACTCACCACTCTTATGGAGCATGTGTTACAGCAAATTGATGACCTATCAATTATGATGTTCCAGTTTCAGGAAAAACGCCATGCCACAGCTGCCGTTTCATCTTCAGGTGCATCCTCTGTTTGCAGTAGTGAAGCAATGAGCTCCCCTCTCAGCACCACTAGTAGCGGGTTATTCTCACCATCAGTCGCCTCAACAGCCACTGCAACCACTACAGTCATCACCAATGCTAGTGGGATGCCTGATCCAACAGCAGCAATATCAGCTCCTCGTGATGATCAAATTCTTGTCGATATCGATAATCGGGTTGAACCTCTCTTTCATGCTGTACAAAAGATTTATTCATCAATGACATCAAACACACCCCCGGATGATCCTTCAGGTGTATTGACTCGGAAGCATAACACAGTCCAAAAACGATGGGAAGCTTTACGACTTGAGATTGATGACCTCAAAGAAGAGCTCAAGGAAGATCGATGGTTGACCGTGTTTCGACAAGTGGCTGATCAAGTGGATGTGATGATTGATGGATTGGAGAAAACAGTGACACAATGCTACGGCATCATCCAACAAGTCCGCGAATGGCACATTGCAGCACACCCACAACAACAACAACAACATGGAAACGCCTTTGAACGTTTATCAAAGACAATCATGCGTAATCTTCCACGGCCCAATCATTCCAACAACACATGTTCATCACCTCCACCTTTGCCTGTTGATGGTGAAAAATTCAAGTCCATTGAAAAGAACTTTGAAGCAAAGTACAAGTACTATGCACCTTCCATTGACAAGATGCTTGGTATGCTTGGAAACGGGATTGTATCGCGTGTGGCACGTGACAACGTCACTAGTAAGAGGCATTCCTCAATGATGCAACGTTGGACGACTCTCAAGGCCACTATGGATGATTTACGTATGCGTGATTTACGTGAGACTGAACGTATGCTGTATGGTGGTGGTAGCAGCAGTGGATGGAAGAGTATTCGCCACAGGAGCCATGAAGATGTGAAAAGCAACACTTTACCTCGAATGGGCAGCCGTAACCATGTTGATGATCGACGTGTTAGGAGTGTTACCCCTAGTTTGGCAGCCGATATGCGTAAAAGCATGTATAGCCCAGTACAACGTACGCCACCACGTGCAGCAAGCTCTATGGCTCATCACAGCTCTCGTGATTATATTCGACCTAGCACATCTGATTCTTCATCCCTTGATGGCAACACCACAACAATCACAGCAGCTTCTCGTCGTCGCAAACTCACCAAAACGCCAAGTCGTCAAGAAGTAAAATCATCATCAGCAGGACAATTTGGTAAAGAATCCAAATCCTTGGGCACACGCAAGAGTCGAGTCCCTGCACGTACAGCAACACCTACTGGAAGAGAAGAGGCATCATGGATGAAACCTACAAAGAGCACCTTGATGAGGAATCGACGTACGCAGGATGATGAAGAGGATCATAGCAACAAGACAACATCACGCCCCAAAACACCCACTCGTCCCAAAACACCGACACGGCCTAAAACACCTGTTACACGATCTAAGACCCCAACACCTGGACAACAGCATAGTCGTAAAACGATGACACCAGTACCACCACGTCCAAAGAGTAGCCTTGGATCAAGCCATCAACGTGATCATCAAGCACTTCCACCTATTCCAGATCGTGAGAGACGAGCAGCATCCCCTGTGAAGCGTACAATGACACCCTCATTTATTCCACGTCCAAAGACACCACAACAACAACATCGTGCACAATCACCAAGTCAACTTCCAAGACGTCCACGTTCATCCATGATGACAATGACACCGCCACCACGACCACGACCCTTGTCACAAGTATTGATTAATGCAATGGATGAGGATGAGGAAGATGATGTCTATGACGATGATTCATTCATGCATGATAGTGGCAACAACAAGCGATTACTTTTACGCAAGAAGCAATCCATGCCAGCCGTGCTCCATCAACGTCATCATCACAATGATCATCATGAAGTATATACACCCAATCGTCGTGATCCATTGGATATGGAAGTGGCTCGCATTGTGAACGCAAGTCCTATCACTGTCAAATGCCAAAAAGGACCTCTTGGTGGTGGACGCTATTACTTTGGAAACGAGCTCAATCCATCAGTGGGAGGTGGCAAGAAGCTGTACACGTGTAAATTAATGAATTACGCCAATCGAGACTCATCACGTCGATCCAAAGCTCCTCAAAACAAAGTGCTTGTACGTGTAGGCGGTGGATGGCAAGACCTCGAAATGTTTTTACTCGATCATTCCAATTTGATGACCACAGCAGCTACTGATATCGTCACTACTACCACGCGTCCCTTTTCCAGCATGGGCTATAGCCGAAGATAAAGAAACTATATTAATAAAGAATCCTTGTTCATTGTGTGTAATACAATCCATCCTCTTTGTTGTTGTGCATAATAAAAAAAGTAGGTGATCATCAACCTGCATCAATGCTATTATAATACTACAGGTTCATTACTTGTACTATAGGGACGTGCTTGGTTGTTATTGTACATACGTCGTGTGTTTCGGGAAGGTGGATTATGATCGATTAGGGAAAATCCCCGTTTGACCATTTGCCTTTGGATACATCACACAAGGAGATACGTATACGAGAACCTCTTGTCAGCAAAACAATGAAAATATGTACCTACATGCTCTATGACCCGTGGCTGGCTTAAAGAGCATGCAAAGTTGTTGTGAAACGCATGCGGTTGCCATCATCACCACCACTACTATTCCATCGCTTTGAAACACTCCAAGAAGCTAGTAGGCTTCTAGCGTAGATAAGAGTAGTATTCTATTTTGTACAAATATTCTCCCTTCTTCTATCGTACGTATAATAGGGATGGGGCAAGATTTCCTGAAACAGAGGAGGGCTGTACATAACATACTCCTCCGCTTTGACAGCGTGATGGTTATTATGGTGGTGAATATGCACATCATGACGTGATGACAAAGAATGGTGTGGTCACGCTAGACATAAAGTTAATAGAGGACATGACGATGCATTCTCTCTCTCTCTCTCCCACACTATTGGGAAAAACGCGGGATGGACAATGAAGGAAAGGCTTTGCCGTACAAATTTCTCTTACAGAATTGGAGACACGCAAACAATGCCGACAAGTGAGAGGGCATGTGATACGCGATAAGGTTCACTACATAAATGGTCCTGCATCATTTTCCTTTTGTTTGGATCTCATCTTTCTTTTTTACTTTTCCCAACGTTTTGTCTTCTTCTTCAATGTGAGTATTCATTAAAGTACCCTTTGAACATTGACACGCTCATCATTGTTATTGCGTAGTAGTAGTATGCCAGCTCGTGAACATTCGGTCGAAACCATCCGGCGTAGCAGTGAGGTGATGGGCAACTTGAGAAAGCTCATGGTTGTCAATCGAGGAGTAAGTAGTAGTAGTATAGGATCAATGATGGGATACATGGGGCTAATCAATGCCACCCCAAGGAAATTGCCATCCGTGTCTTTCGCACAGCTCATGAATTGTCAATGCGTACGGTTGCCATTTTTTCATATGAGGATCGTTTATCCATGCATCGATACAAGGTATATACATATAAGTTGTGGAGGTGGGTTGGTGGGTGATAATAGGGGTATACTCATAGTGGGTGCTATAGGCAGATGAATCCTATCAGATTGGCAACTTGGGTCAATACACGCCTGTGGCTGCCTATCTTGCACAAGATGAAATTGTTCGCATAGCAAAGGAGCGTGGCGTCGCTATGATTCATCCAGGCTATGGCTTTCTTTCTGAGAATGCCGAATTTGCTCGCAAAGTAGAAGCCGCTGGTATCACGTTTATTGGACCTGCACCTGAAGTCATTGAAAGTTTGGGTGATAAAACAAAAGCAAGACAAATTGGTAAGGCGTATGATCACATGACCACCTAAACAAACATACCTTCATACTTACATTGATATAGCTATGGAATGTAAGGTGCCAGTGGTTCCTGGTACACCAGGACCTGTGAGTGAATACAAGGAAGCGGAAGCATTTATCAAGGAACATGGATTTCCCATTATTATCAAGGCTGCTATGGGTGGTGGTGGTCGTGGCATGCGCGTGGTGCGTGATGAAGCTTCTTTGGAAGATGCCTTTAATCGTGCCAAATCGGAGGCGTTGTCTGCTTTTGGTGATGGAACCGTATTCATTGAACGATTTGTGGATAAGCCGCGTCATATCGAAGTGCAAATCCTAGCCGATCGTGCAGGGAATGTGGTGCATCTTTTTGAACGTGATTGTTCAGTGCAACGCCGTCATCAAAAGGTGGTTGAGATTGCCCCTGCCAAGAATTTGGATAACGCTGTACGTGAAGCTATTTTGAATGATGCTCTCAAGATTGCCAAAGCTGTAAAGTATCGCAATGCAGGCACAGCTGAGTTTTTGGTTGACACGCAAAATCGGCATTACTTTATTGAAATCAATCCACGTATCCAAGTGGAGCATACAATCACTGAAGAGATCACTGGTATCGATATTGTTGCCGCCCAGATACAAATTGCTGCTGGTGCATTGTTACCCCAACTTGGCTTGACACAACAAAGAATTCGACAACGTGGATTTGCTATTCAATGTCGAGTGACCACCGAGGATCCTGAAAAGAGCTTCCAACCTGATACGGGTAAAATTGAAGTGTATCGATCATCCGGTGGCAATGGCGTACGTCTTGACGGTGGTGCTGGTTATGCAGGTGCTATCATCACCCCACATTACGATTCATTACTTGTCAAGGTGACATGCTCTGGTTCCACCTACGAAGTGGCTCGTCGAAAGATTGTGCGTGCATTAGTGGAATTCCGTATCCGCGGTGTCAAGACCAACATCCCTTTCTTGCAACGTTTACTTACTCATGATACATTCATCAATGGCCATTGTTGGACAACATTTATCGATGACACGCCTGATCTTTTCCGCCTCGTGAGATATCAAAACCGTGCACAACGATTGCTTGGCTACCTTGGTGATGTCGTCGTCAATGGATCTCAAATCAAGGGCCAAATGGGCGATCCTGCATTCCGTCAAGAGATTGAGGTCCCTGTGGTGCGTAACAATGGTGCCAAAGGTGGCGATGCAGCTGCAGAACTCAAGGATGGGTGGCGTAAGATCATTGTTGAACAAGGAGCAGACGCCTTTGCCAAAGCTGTACGAGAGTATCCAGGCGTGCTCATTATGGATACTACTTGGCGTGATGCTCATCAAAGTTTATTGGCCACACGTGTGCGTACCGTGGGTAAGTGCACATAGACGATTTGTTTGTTTGCATGTTGCTAATGATATGTTATTGTTTATTTCATATGCAGACTTACTACGAATTGCAGCTGCTACATCCCATGCACTTTCAAACGCGTTTTCACTTGAATGCTGGGGAGGAGCAACCTTTGATGTGGCTATGCGTTTCCTACACGAGGATCCATGGGATCGTTTGATCAAGTTGCGTGAAGCAGTACCCAACATTCCATTCCAGATGCTCTTGCGTGGTGCGAATGCTGTTGGCTATACCTCCTATCCCGACAATGTCGTGTATGAATTCTGTGACAAAGCGGTCAAGGCTGGCATGGACATCTTTAGAGTCTTTGATTCGCTCAACTATGTGGAGAACATGAAGCTTGGTATCGATGCAGTCAAGAAGGCCGGTGGTGTTGTTGAGGCATCCGTATGCTATTCAGGCGACGTGACGGATCCTACCAAGGACAAATACACGCTCGATTATTACTTGAAGCTTACAAGAGAATTGGTGAATGAAGGCATCCACATTTTGGGCATCAAGGACATGGCGGGTTTACTTAAACCTGAAGCTGCACGTGTACTCGTTGGTGCTCTACGCAAGGAATTCCCCAATTTACCCATTCACGTGCACACGCATGACACTGCTGGTGTTGGTGTAGCATCCATGATGGCAGCAGCAGCGGCAGGTGCCGACGTTATTGATGTTGCTATTGATGCCATGTCAGGAATGACATCTCAGCCTTCCATGGGTGCTCTTGTTGCTGCTCTTGAACAAACCAATCTTGGCACTGGTATTCGTATGGAAGATATCCAAGCCATCAACTCATACTGGGAACAATGCCGCTTGTTGTATTCTTGCTTTGAAGCCAACGTCAAGGCTGCCGACTCGGGCGTGTTTACCTATGAGATGCCGGGTGGTCAATATACAAACCTCATGTTCCAAGCACAACAACTTGGTCTTGGCACCCAATGGAAACAGATCAAAAAGGCCTACTCAGAAGCAAATCAACTTTGTGGCAACGTGATCAAGGTGACACCTTCATCCAAAGTGGTTGGCGACCTAGCTCAGTTCATGGTATCCAACAACCTATCAGCCCAAGACGTTGTTGAACGTGCAAAGAGTCTATCGTTCCCTACATCAGTTGTCGAATTCTTCCAAGGTTACCTTGGTCAGCCTTATGGTGGTTTCCCTGAGCCGTTGCGTAGCAACATTATTCGCGACTTGCCACGTATCGATGGTCGCCCTGGAGCAACATTACCACCATTGGATCTTCACAAGCTCAAAGAAGAACTTATTGAAAAGTATGGACCCAACATCCGTGATTATGATGTGGTATCAGCAGCATTGTATCCTAAGGTCTTTGCTGAGTATCGTGAAATGGTCAATCAGCATGGTGATCTATCAGTCATTCCCACACGTTACTTTTTGGCCAAACCTGAAGTGGGCGAAGAATTCCATATCGAGATTGAGGAAGGCAAAACACTCATCATCAAGCTACTCGCTGTTGGTTCGCTTAGTGGTGATGGCAAGCGTGATGTCTATTTTGAACTCAATGGTGAAGCACGTGTTGTCGGCATTGTGGATCGTAGTGCAGCTGTGGAAACTATTACTCGTGAAAAGGCAAAGGAATCCAATCCTGGTGATGTGGGTGCACCTATGTCGGGTGTCGTTGTTGAAGTACGTGCCAAGGAAGGTGCTCACCTCAAGGCTGGCGATCCCGTTTGTGTGTTAAGCGCCATGAAGATGGAGACGGTTGTAACAGCACCTGTTGCCGGCAAAGTCGAGTTGGTACCTATCCATGAAGGGGATTCACTTTCATCGGGAGATCTTGTAGCTCGCCTTGTCAAAGATTCTTGAACATAGTAGTATAGCACAATATCAATTAAAACCATCATATCTGATACGTAACAGCACGTGAAATTCATCGGCAATCTGTAAATTGTGATTCAAAGCAAAGAAATAAAATTGGGAAATGTAGGAAGGGATGTATCGGGTATCGGTGCGTCTAATCCTTGTTGTTCTCCAAAAGCTGCCGTTTGACTCGACGACATTCAGCTTTCCAGTCGACCATAAACAAAAAGAGCATTTGAATGGCTGCATATAAAAAGGACGCGATACCGAGACCGAGCCACATGCTAACGACCGAGGATAAGGAAACGTGGATTGAGAAAATAAGAATAAGGCCAATAGGGACACCAATGACGTAGTAAGAGACAAAACTAGCAACCGCTGAGATAACTTGTCGTCCGAGACCTCGTAGTGTACCGTAGCAATGACCATTGATGGTGGGGAATAACATGAAAAAGGCGAGGATTGGTAATGTGCGAGCGACAAGTTGCACCACTTGTTCATCCTTTGTAAATATGTATCCAAAAGATGAGCGAGTGCAAATGAGCAACAAAGTAAGTGGTTGAGAGGATAATAGACTGAGCCAGCAACCTTGAATCCATGTTTCACGAGCGTCAATAGCAGATCCACGACCTAATGCATGTCCAACTCGTGTTGCTGCTGCTGATGAAAGTCCATTGCCCAGCATACGGCTTGCCATAAAGGTTCGTGCTAGCACTGATTGTGCTCCGATTGCTGTGCTACCACCATTGACACTGTGATACGCAATAGCGAGCACTGCTGCCTCGCCTGCAGCTGTCTCGCATAAATAGGTCATCACATTAAAGCTTGCTTGTCGCATGTAATCCTTCCAATCATCGAGGCATTTCCAGGTCCATCCACCCCATGATTGTTTCATCTTGGCGGCACACCATACTCGTGAATACACCACAAGGGATATGAGCATTACGGTGTATGTCAACGCCATCCCCAAGGGTGCCCCTTTAAGACCAAGGTTCAGGATAAATACAAAAGTATATTGGACAGCTGCATTCACCGGTACAGCTGCAATGAGAATACACATTGAGCCATAAACAATTCCCTGTGCCAGCAAGAACTTGCGATAGGCGTCAAATGCTGAGTATATTGCCATGCCAACGAAGCTGTATTGCAAGTACATGGCTAATAGCGTCTTAATCAGTGATATTGTAAGATCATAAAGGTCGCTATAAACGTACCTGCTAAAGCTGATAATTTTGGATCCTGTCCCATGGCTACCAGCAGAGGACTACTATATGCAAATACAACAGCAATACACGCCAAAGACGCTATCATGATTGCAATTGCTCGTTGTAAGTATAATCCCACCAACGTCTTGTCTCGTGCTCCTGTCCAAGCTTGTCCACATAGTTTTTCAAGTGTTGTTGTGCTGCCAACCGTAAGGCAATACCCTCCCAAGTTTAGAACCATGTTGCCAAGAGTCGCTGCAGCCAGCTCATCTTTCCCCTAATGATGCCTCGTATGGTTAATAACACTTTTTATCATCGTCAACAATCATGCTGCCTAAGAAAGGAAAAGACTTACAATGTGTCCAATCACAGCTATATTGGTTAGCTCCAACAGCTGGTGTAAGATAAATGTGCCAGATATGGCAAGTCCGTTCTTGAATAGCCATGAAAAGGTCTCCAGACGTGTATATGGTTGTACATTATTGACATCTGACCCAAGCAGTGGTGTGTGTTCTTGATGATGATTGCTGGTATCCTTCGAATGATGATGATAATGACCCATTATTAAGGAGATGAGGTATGTAAAAGAAGAATAGCACGTAATTTGTTAAAAAGTGAATCGAATTATGGGTGGTTGTAGTGAACAAAGAGCGTGGCCCTTTATATACACCTGCATTCGATTGTAAATAGAATTCTGGAAAAACCTTTTTGTCCTCTTTTTGGAGCATGTGGGGACCCAGCAGTTGTCATGATCGTCGGAAGCTTTATTCAACAAGCGTCGGACTTGATCAGGGGATTAAGTGTGATGTGTATGGTGGATTGAGAAAGGAGGATGAGGAGGGGGTGCACAACAGGAGCAAGTTTGCATGTGTATTAGAGCGATCATCGTGCATTTGAATGAACCAATCGGTCTTGCTCGCACTTAATGCGGTTGTAAGTGGACTGTGTGACCCATCGCCAATTGATGGAGGAGATGTAGGCCAAATGTGCACTAGCTGCTAAAAACATGGCCAAACATAGACCAATCCACAAGCCAACAAGAGCCCAGCCCGCCTTGAATGTGAGAATATAAGCAACAGGGAAACCAATCACGTAATACGCGTTGATGTTGATGTACGTGGTAATATCAGGTCTCCCCATACCGCGCATAATACCTGTACATGCTTGTCCAACAAATTTAACTGCCAAGTATAGCCCAAACAAAGGCATCACTTGGGCCACAATGTGTACAATATCGCGATCATTTGTGAACACAAGCCCAACAAGTTGTCCAAAAGTGGCAAGCAATGGCAACAGCGTTACCAAGACAAGCGCCACTGCCATGGCAACCGCCAACATCCATGCTGCATGTAATGTTGCCTTGATGCTGTTGGAGCTGTTGTCGTCATCTTCGTTGTCTTTGCTATTATTCATGCAAATACTCCCAATCCGGTTGCTGACACGTGTAGCTACAGCGGCTGATAAGCCCCATCCAAGTGAAGCACACAGCTGATCGAGGCACATGAGAATCGATTGTGCTGCCAAATGTTTTGTGCTCAAGTACGACGCTCCTAAAGATACCAGTTCAAAGCACCACCATTCGGATGCAAGATTGACAATACCAGGGATAGCGTAACCTAGATACGGTTTCCAGTCATTTAAGCATGCGCTGTTCCAGCCACCCCAATAAGATGTCTCATGATGCCGCTCGCATTTGAGATACGTGTATCCAATCAATAAGGTCAACATCAACCAGCTCGTTATGGTGCTCGCCAGCATAACACCATCAAATCCAAGATTGAGCATGAACGCCAACGTATATGTCAAGATCACCGTCAATGGCGTCGTCAACATTAGGACCCCTGTGCTACCTCCCATAATGCCTTGTGATTGAAGATACTTGCGAATTGCCTCACTGATATAGAATACAAAAGGTTGCTAGGCATTAGCATAAAGAGAATTTGATTGAGTGGGATAATGATAACACATACAAACAACAGTAGGCTGGTGCACCAAACAAATCATATCGTAAATAAATGCCTATCATACAACAATGTCAGCTTTTACGTTTCATTGATCCAGCACACGGGTAGGTATTGTATCTTGCCTGCAAAGAGAGCCACATCAGGATCTTGGCCAATGGCCACAAATAGCCGAGTTGCATTGAGCCATAAGGGTGCCAAAATTACATGCCATGCTACAAGGACTACAATTGATTTTTGCAAATGGAGCCCAACCAACGTCTTGTCCTTGGATCCAGTCCATGCTTGACCACAAAGCGTGTCGAGTGCATTAAGAGTCCCTAGCGCAACGCTGGATGATGTGATGGTTGTAAACATGGTTCCAAGTGCTGAGCCTGCCAGTTCATTTGGTCCCTGTTATAGGCATGATGGCTCATGTCAATACATCAAGTGACTTGAGAAATTCGAATGTGGAAAATAAAGACATACAAGGTGTCCAAACGCTGACACGTATGTCAGCTTACTTAGTAAGTTGAGCAGATAGAATCCTGCAACTGGTACGCTGTTTCGAGAAAGCCAATGCAGCTCATGTGGAGTAGAGGACACCCTTGATGATGATGATGATAAGGGTATGGATGTAGATTTGATAAGTGGTGTCGTCTCGCTCGGTGACATGGTGATCGTTGTGCGAAGATACGAGATATTAAGGATCGAGAGGGCGTTCGTAAAAGGAGAAAGGGAGGATACGTTGGATACGGCGGAGGCAACAGGACATGATTGGATTGTTTTTATACAGTCTCATACTACTATTTCTTCTTTTTGGCTTGGACTTCTCGACCCCATTTTCACATTGGCCTCAACCTCCCCCCCAAGACACACTTTCACACCTCTCCTCCGCTCATGCAGCCGTTTCTTTTGCAGCTAAACTTAGTAATATCGCTTATCAGCTCGTTTTTGCATCACAAAACTTGCTCGTATTGATATAGATGTATCTTGCTACATCTCACATTTCTCCACTGGCATTCTTTAACAGCACTCTCTTCTCATACATTGCATATGTACACGCTCTTGCACATTGGTATGTATTAAAATCAAGGATGTCGGTATTTGTAGGCTTGATTCAAAGTCGGTGGGATGTGCATTATCAGGTACAAATTATACGGAGTGGGTTGGGGGTGTAAACCAAATCATAAAAGCTAATGTCTCCTTCAAGGAAAAAAAGAGAAAAGAGAATCAACACAAATTTCCTTAGTCTGCAGCAAGATCGTCCAATGAGCTGCTGTTGTACTCGGCACGTAGTTGACATTGCAGATGGAATTGGTGCCCTCTAATAACGCCACAAGCCGATTCGTTTGAAACAATAAGCTGTTCTACCGTAGATAAAAGGATACTAGCAGCATCATCATCATACATCCATTACAAGTGTCAGCTGCCGATCCCATCGTAACATGTCTCCGCACTACGATCATGCCGCTTTGTGTTGCACCCCGTGTCTTGGCAAGCTGTGATGCATTCACAAGCAGATGACACTACTGCCCCGCTTTTCATTCAGCCTTTTAATTTTCCATTTTATGTACGAACGTCATCCTTTTGTGTGCAGCTTTGGGTAATATCAGATACGTTTTGCACAAATCATTTCATACTTTGATCACCCATCCATAAACCTGATGCATACTAGCACCAACTTGAATACAAATCCTTACATCCGCACATCCACTTGTCGTACCTTTCATGTTGGCTATAATTGAATGCTTAATTTTTTTCGCCATCCACTCAAATGTTGAATACATGCGATAACCAATAGACCACACGTGATGTTCCTTTTCAGTGCATTGTTCATGCGTGATAATGTTTGTCGATCCTTTGTTTATACAAGTTGAGTACATACACAAATCTATTTACACATATCCGAAAACAGCAATCATGATGTTGACGATATCATCCTCTCTTCTTCGTGCTTGATGCGATGGTGTGTTTTTTGAACTAAGGTTGACCAATGGATATTGACAATGTAAATGGTGTGTATCCCTGCTGCTGAGAAGATTGCCAAGCACAACCCTATCCATAAACCAGACAAACCCCAGCCTGCTATGAATGCCATGGCGTACGCTGCAGGACAACCAATTCCATAGTATGATCCCATGTTGATCCATGCCGTTATTGCAGGTCGTCCAATACCACGCAAGATACCCGTGCATGTGTTGCCGATTGTTTTTGCCACCAGATACACAGCAAAGAGTGGGATGAGGCTTACTACCACATCACGCACCATTTCTTGGTCATCGTTGGGAGCAGGTGCAAACCATTGGGCTATTTCGTACCGCAACGTCCAAAGTATTAAGGTTGTTATGCTTCCAGCTATTGTGGCCCATATGTAAGCGGTGACAATTGCCATCCATGGGATCTTGTTTTCTCCTAATCGGTTCCCAACACGGATAGCTGCAGCTGTGGATATACCCCAACCTACCGAGCTTGTCAGGTCATCGAGGCTCATGAGGATGGATTGTGCTGCTAAAAGAAGTGCTTTCTCTCCCACATCAATATAGGAGGCACCAAGCGATAAGAGGTCGTAGCACCATAGTTCAGAGACCGCATTGATCATTCCTGGTACAGCATATCGAAAAAATAGGGGCCAATCTTGAAGGCTTGCTTTAAGGTCCCATCCTCCCCAACCTTCACTTCCACGCACCATCTTTGCATATAGGATGATACCCAATAACATCATCCAGTAGGTAATGCTTTGTGCTAAGGGCACACCCACAAATCCAAGTTGCATCCAAAATGTCAATACATAGGTGAGCAAGATGCTGAATGGAGCCACCACACACTGCACAGTGATGCTTGCACCCATAACACCTTGTGCTTGCGTGTATTTACGTATCGCCTCGCTATAACAAACATGCACGTTAGTATATACATCACATAGAAGCATATGGGTAAATACTTGCAAGTAGCTGTAAGCAGGTGCACCCAATAAATAATAGCGGAGATAGAGGCCTGCATCAAACATTGGTGACATTTCAGGAACAATCCAAAGAATACAAAACCCGTACCTGCATAATGTGCAACATCTGGATCTTGCCCTATTGTTAGAAACAGCCTTGTTGCATTCAACCAAAGAACAGCTGTAACCATGTACATGACACCAAGGATGAGAAAGGTGCGTTGTAGATGAATGCCAATCAGCGTTTTATCTCGTGCCCCGGTCCAGGCTTGTGAGCTTAGTGTATCAAGAGCACTCATCGCACCATACGTAATGCTAAAGGCTGTCATGGATGCGAACATCAACGCCAGCGCTGATGCAGCCAATTCAGTAGATCCCTTGATATCAAAAATCTCTTAGCTTATGTGGACAATAATATGCTTGCCATCACACTTTGCTTACCAAGTGACCACAGGCAACAACACCCACTGTTCTTGACATCAGCGTTAAAGCATAGTAGCCAACAATAGATAAGCTGTTGCGAATGAACCATCTTAATTCAAACACTGCTGCTGTGCCGTCTTCGTTGAGTGCTTGATTGGGGTGTATCAGTGATGTTGTCTCATCATTATCATCAGAAAGTTGCTGTTGGTGTTGGCGGGATACCATGCAAAAGAAAGATGTAATCAAACTTGTTTTGGGAAAGCTGCTGTATATAAAACGGGGAAGGGGTCACAAATCCAGGGTAACACACTATCGTCATCAGATGCCATCATTTCCTATCCATATGATTATGGCGGTTTCTCGATCCTTTTTCTGCTATCCATGGATATGGATCAATGCATTTATTATCATGTTGTGTGGGAGCGGCTAGGGGTGTCAATTAACATGGATCTTTACTCTATTGTGTATAATTATGCAGATTGGGTTTGGTACATGCAACTGGCATACATTAGCTCAATCGCGTACCTTGAAAAAAGACCATCGTTATCCACATGACATGTTAGCTTTTGATCTTCATTGTAGCGTAGTGTGTAGGTGCGGCGATTCCAGGCAACATCTTTTGGTAAATCCAATCCGTTGTTGCCATGGTTGCTAGGTGACATGCGTACTATCGCTGTAGGGTTCAATGCAAAACGTCGAATGAGGAAGGTTTCAAAAATGTAATTTTCACTTCTTCCACTCCCACCTTATTTACTTCTTCTTCCATTCTCAACTGTTGGCCCATTCAAGTATACAACTACCACCTGCGAACGATTGTCCTGCTTCAACCCATCATGTCAATCCTACAATTGCATTGATCCGGTAGCCTTTGACTGAATGAGCAAGTCCATGGCGTGTGCACCCCATTACAACACCTGCATTTCTTGACACAACAGCTTCTCTTGTACAATCCTCTACCACGGTCAATCGTAGCAGCATTCATTCCAGTGGTTGCAATTAGCAAAACCTTTTCTCCATTGTCTCAAGTTACTTGCTGCTTTCTTTACGTGTGGACAGCATATCAGCAGCTATAACTCATAACGACAACGAGATTCAAAAGGAAGCCTCCAAGATCCCATTCTCTTCAACTTGTGTGTTTTTGATATCTGCGACGATGAGATTGACGCCTACTGACGAGCACGAGTACGAGTCGAGTACGAATGATGAGGGACGACGACTATGATGATGGTGGTGGTGGTGGCAATGTAGCAAGATAGCTGGATAAAATAAAGCATTGTTTATTTATTACACGCTTGGACTTTGCTAGCTTGTGGATTACATACTATTGCTTCGAAGATGGAATAATAAAGGTGGTCCGGTTATCGGTCATGCAAGAAGTACATGGCTTTTGTGATACAATAAGGAGGAGTGGGAAGTGGGATGAGCTTGAGAAGAGAAAAGTGAAGTGATCCCTCCATTGAGTTTGAGGATGAGTGGCCCATCAACATGTATACGTATCTTTTTATTATACAAATTGGTTTATGCAGCTCGGCCTTCTTCTACATGCAAATGTGATACATACCTTGACACACCTTCATTATTGGATGCTGTTTTACTTACGTACCTTCACAAAAGGCAATCATCATATCATCATCATCATGCATTTGTGCAGCAACTTGTCAAGGACGTGTTTGTGTGACCATCACGTGCTATTTCATTCAGCTCTCCATCTTTCCGTTCATGCAGCCGATACCATCCACCGGGAGAAAGCAACTCCACCACGCTTACAGCATATACAAAACATAAAGGTGCCTGTATCTCTAAACTTTACACTGAAACGTGGGGTTTTTATTAGAGCAATGTGCTCGGCTTGGCCAACTGCACCGTGGGTGCCAGTTTCACGATCAAGCTTGCCAATCCCAGATTTCGCAATGTCGCCACCAGCCAAACTGGATCCGGGGCTCAACCTCTTCGACGACGACGACCAAAAAATATTTTTTGGGCTGTTTGCGACATTGATCGTGAAACTTTCACACAAGGTGCTGTTGGCCAAGCCGAGCCCATTGCTCTATTCAAAACCCCACGTTTGATTGTAAAGTTTGGAGATACCGGGCACCTTTGTGTTTGTAAGCGTGATGCTATATGAGAAGTGGTCTTTGTTCATTTGCCAAGTAGCTGGACCCTGGCAGAGCAGATGCAGAGGGTCGTGTTGTGTAACACAGCTACGTTTGCATGAATGAAAGGGTCAATGTATAACTACTTTATGGATCATCTAGGAACAGGCATGTAGTGCTAGCTAACGGCCACTTTTATCCAATCATCATTGTTGCGAGATCCACTGCATGGGAACGATACCCCTGCTCTAGACATTCATTTCCATGATTAAAGTAGGTTGATCCGAGCTGATTTGACTGAGCTGCGGTCAAAGGCAGATTACATCACTCTGGACATAAAGCACGCTCGATGTAGCTCTCAACCGATGTAATCTTGTGTGAGGCGTAACTCAACCAAATCAGCTCGGATCAACCTACTTGAATCATGGAAATGAATGTCGGAGAATCGTCCACCTACAATAGAATGCACAAAAATTGGGAATGCACAAAAGTGGCTATTAGCTGCCAATGTATGACATAAAAGTGAAGA